CCGCGCACCCCGATCACGCCCACGCCGCGCGTGCTGCTCTGCCGCCTCAGTGAGTGGCCAGGATGTCCGGGATGGGCTCCCAGCAACCGGGCCAGCAGGCTGGCTGTCGTGGGGAGTCGAGGGGTAGCGGGTGCAGATCGTTGGCAGAAACACTTAGACCTGGTTCTCAACCGTAAGGGATCCCAGGGTCAGGGTGGAGCCTGCTCTTGCTATCTAAGATGTGTGGACAACTTTCCCAAAAATGCATTTAGAAGGTCAGGGATTTAGCTCAGTGTCGCTGCGCCTGCCTTGCAAGTAAAAGGTCCTGAATTTGACCCCTGATTCAAAAGAAAGAAAGCAATGCATTTAGTAGATCCACATACTGGGTTAGGGGCTACATTCAGGCCTTGACGTTTTAGCGTGCTTCCTAAAAATGCAACATGAAACTTGGGCCTGGGGGTGCTGGAGTCTTCTACTTCCAGCTCTCAGGAGGCCCAGGCAGGAGGATCTCAAGTATGAGCAGCTTACTCAGACCCTATCTCCAATTTTTCCTTAAAATAATAAAAATAAAAGAGCTAGGGATGGAGCTCAGTGTAAGGGCCCTGGGTTCAGCTCCTATCACTGCCAAAAATAAAATAAAAATTGTAAAAATTCAAGCATGAGCACATGCTTGGGAAGTTAAGGCAGGAGGATTTCAAGTTCAAGGCCAGCCTAAGCAACTTAGCAAAACATCTTTTTTGGGCCAGAGATTTGGCTTAGTTGTTCTGCCACCTTCCTCACAAGTGCAAGGTACTGAGTTCAATCCCCAGTACCAAAAACAACAGCCAAATAAAACATCATCTTTTTTGTTTTAGTTTGATTTGAGATAGGATCTTATTCTGCAGGTCAGGCTGGCCTTGAGCTCACTGTGTAGCTCAGGCTGGCTTCAAGCTTGTGCGGTCCTCCTGCCTCAGCCTCCCAAGTGCTAGATTACAGATGTGCACCACCACACCTGGCTGACACCATTTTAAAGTAAATAAAAAATAAATATCATGAGGACCTGTATCCAGGATTTTTTTTCTTCATAGAAACCATACAGCGTGGCAGGCCAACGTGAGGCAACTGGCTTTTCCTCACCCTGTGTGAGAAATGGGTGGTTTAAGCCGTTTAGCACCAGGCTGTGTCCCTCTCTTGGGCACCAAGATGGATTGGGGAGGAGAGGAGACTAATAGCCCACTACCCTTTTGCTTTAGTTTCTTCAGCACCCCTTCCCTGTTGGCCAGTGATCTCTGGTTTTTGTGTTTCAGACAGCATTGATGGCAACAACATGACAGTCACCCCAGGGCCTGGAGAGCAGACTGTGGACGTTGAACCGTAAGGAAAAGCCATTTATTCTTTAGGACAGAAGCCTCAGCTCAGGATGGTATTGGAGCTTTGAGAAAGACAGCTCCTATATAGTCAGTGGCTGCAGAGAGAGAAGTTACAGAAATTGTAGGGTCACCATGTCTCTTGAATATTTTTGTTTCCCTCTAATGTCTTATATTTCAAGGTCTTGGCTAAATTCTCAATCCATAGTAAAAGCCCTGGATGCAGAGAACCTAGCATCTCCTTCTCTTGTTCCACAAGCCAGCCTGAGTGGGCCATGTGATTTCACATCCCTGGTGGCAATGAAGTGTCTGTCTTGGGTTGCCCAATTGTAAGGGGCTCCTCACTGGGTATGGTGGCACACGCCTATAATCCCAGCACTTGGGAGGCTGAGGCAAGAGGATCTTCCCAAATTCAAGACCAGCCTGGGCTACATAGGGAGTTCAAAGCCAGCCTGGACTATACACCAACACTCTGTCTCCACAAAATCAGAAAGAAAGGTGGGGAGCGCTACCGTCAGCGAGACACCTCTGAAAGCCCTTGTTTTCCCCATCTGCTCTGTCAGATTCTTGGCCAGTCTTCCTTGAATCGTATGTGAGTAGTGGTAGGTACAGTATCCCCCCTTTTCTATAAGGGATGTGTTCCAAGACTTTCAGTGGAATCCTAGGACCTCCAGTAGTGCCAAAACCCTGTGTACAAGCTCTCAGTGCCCCCATAGTTTTATTTGAGAGCCACCAAGTGATAACAGATGGGCATCAATTTAAAATGTATGATTGTCTATTTCTGGAGCTTTTCATTTAACAGTTTTGGACTTCATTTGACCATAGATAACTGAAGCCATAGACAGCAGAACTGCAGATAAGGAGACACTGTCATGTTATGGAAGGGCAGAGTCGTTCTTTACATGTGGAAAGACAAAGAGGCTAGGTGGCATAGTGCTGAGTGTACTGATTCAGGAATCAGAAAACCATTTAGGGCATGATGGTGTACACCTGTAATCTCAGTCCTTGGTAGGCTGAGGCAGGAGCATCACCACAAGTTAGAGGCCAGTCTGAACTACATAGCAAGACTCTGTCTGGTAAAAAGGGGATGGGAATCAGAAGACCTGAGTTCTGGAGCCATCTTATATTTTTATCTATATTGAGCTCTGAACTTTGGTTGACTCTTATTAAATGGAAATAATTTGCTACCACCTTTACATCACAGATCTTTGTGGCACTCAGATGAGATAATGTATGTGAAAGGCTAAAAAATTAACACTCTATATTTGGGGTTTTTCTCCCTGATTACGTGGTACCATGCATGGGCCATGCTCCGCACAGCTGTTCTTTGGGAATTAGCCACCTGTCCACGCCAGATACAGGGAATGTAAGGTCCCAGGCAAGCTGCTCCCCACAACTCTCCTCCCAGTCTTAGAGCTGTTGCTTATCTCAGTGAAAAACGTGTGCCTGGAATCTTAAGGTCACATGTGAGGAAATGCCCCCATGTTCCTCTTGCAGAAGGAACTACTTTCCTCTTTTTGCACGTTCCTGACAGTTGCCCTTGGCCTGGGCAATCAAATTGAAGACCATGTGGTTTTGTTTTTATTTTATTTATGTATTTTCTTTTTGTCATTATAGACGCATCAACATTGGCTTGAGATTTCAAGCAGAGATCCCGGAACTCCAAGATGTCTCTGCCCTGGCCCAGGACACACACAAGGCCACACTAGTATGGAAACCCTTACCAGAGCTGGAAAACCAAGACCTCCAGCAACAAGGTATTGGCGCATGGGGAGTGGGGCAGGTGGCTAAGGCTGGCTTCTCTCCCTGGGGCCACTGCCTCCGCTCTGGTGGTGTTTTCCATTACATAGAGCTCTCTCTCTGATGCAGTGGCTTCTCCTTGTTCCCAACAGTGGAGAATCTTCTAAATTTGTGCTGTTCAAGTGCATTGCCCGGTGGAGGAACCAATTCTGAGTTTGCTTTGCACTCTCTCTTCGAGGCCAGAGGTGACGTGATGGTAAGGAGCCATGAAAAGGTGGTTTCACGGTGGGTCCATACTCTTCACACCAGCATCCTGCAGCTTGCTTCCCAAAGTATCTGTACCACCCCGTGCACCGTGCAGCCAATTCTTAAAGTCCATGGCTGGTCAGCACGCACCGTGTTTGTTCCTCATTTTGAGGCGTAGGTCAAGACTTGGCCTGTAGAAAAGCATCTCCCGTTGGACTTCTCTTTACGCATCTACTCCTCAGTTATAATTGTGGGTACATCTGTCCTAGGAAATTAGTTCTTTTTCTTCTATTTTGTATTTCACATCAGAAAACTGAGTCTCCGGTGATGGAGGTGGGAGGTTTTCCCGAAACGGGAGTTGGCCTGAAGCAGCCTGGCCCACTGCTCATGGTCCACCCAACCATGGGAATCAGCCAGAGTTGGATGTTGACAGACCTCTCTTCTTTTCTAACTCAGATGAAGTGTTTACTGTACGCCAACTTGCTCCATTCTTTTATTTTTAACATAGCTCTGCACATGTCCCCAAACCAAAAGCCATGGTACCCCCTTCCCAGAACCACAGCTGACCATTTGCCCGCTCAGCCTGGACTTCTAGCCAGATCACTCCATCACTAACCTCAGTTTCCCCCTTTGTATAAATGCATGGCTCTTCCTGTTACTAGATCCAGCCTCCTGCTTTTAGATTTTGTGGAAATAAGCAATCCCCCCAATAACCTTCAAGTGTCATCTAGAACGTTGTGGAACTTCTCTTAACCCTTGGAGATCAGTGTTGCAGAGTAGCACTTCTCAGACTTTTAACGTGCACGCAAGTCCGCTAGGGGATCTGTTAAAATGCTTCTTCTGATTCAGCAGGTGTAGGAGGGGCCAAGAATCTGCATGTCTAATTGGCTCCCAGGAGGTACTGGCAGCATAGGACTGTGGACCACACTTGAAGTAGTGAGGTTAGATTCTTGGCCTTGCTCTACCTCTAAATAATCCACTGCTCAACTCTATGCACAGCCTTTTTAAAAAATCCAAGGTGGCTGAAGGAGGCACATTTGAAAGGGTTAAGTTAGCGAGGCTCTGTGGAAGGGCAAGACGCGGTGGAGTTATTACTAACACAGCTGTTTATGTTCATTTGTAATGAGACGTAGTTTTTCTGTAAAACAGTTACAAATCACCCACTCATTCCTGGATTCCTTCCCCACAGACTCAGCCTGTACTCACAGGAGGCCCCACCTATCTGTGGCTGGTGGGCCCTCATCAGGGCAGGAGTATGTTAGCTTTTCATCACTGGGACCAAATAGCTGCATGAACCTAGAGGAGAAAAGATTTATTTTTGACTCAGAGTTTCCGAGGTTCTAGGCCCTGGTCAGCTGACTGCAGTGTTTCTGAGCCTGTGATGAGGCAGAGGATCATGGCAGAAGGGTGCTCGCTGCATGGCAACTGGAAGTAGAGAGAGGACGAGCCAAAGAGCCCGTGTCATGGGCTTTCTCCTCCTCCAACTTTTATTCTACCTGTACCCCCACCCTATCAGATGGTGCCATCCATTTCAGGGCAGGTCCTGCCATGCATTTGCTGTCCTGCTTGCCAGTCATCTCTGGGAACGCCCTCACAGACACAGCTAGAGAAGTGTGCTCTCCTACTTTCTTAGGCATTTCTCCATCCAGTCAAGTGGACAGTCAGGACTAACCATTGCAAGGAGTCAGGTCTCAGTCACCACTGTGTTTTCTGCTTCAGGCATGGACTGGGAAGAACAGTGAGATCTGTTAGTGCTGAACAGAAAGGAAGCCTAAATTATGGTGGTCCCTGTCCGGCCCTCTTTCCCATGCCTGAACCCCCAGGTTTTCCCCTTTGGATAGATGACCTCCCTAGGGCACACAGACCTCTTAGTGACACTTACCTTTCTTTCTACAGGCGACTCTGGAAGTGCTGCTGCTGGAGAAGCCAGTCAGGTTACAATGTCATCCTTTAGCAAATTACCACTATGCCGGTAGGTTGCCAGGAGTCCTTACACCATGTTACTTCTTGAGACTAAGCTGCTTGCATGTCTGGCTGCACTCCTTCTCAGTAACAGAAAACACCGGTTCTGTCCTAATCATCACTTGTGACCAAGGCCTTCAGGGGTATAGCTGGTGGGTGCCTTCCTGTCCGTTTGTCCCACCACTGTTGGGCGTTTGTCTGGTGACCTCCTGGCCTCATTGTATGCTGAGGCCTGGGTGATAGTGGATGTTGCCTGTGTAAGTGGCAGTAAGATCCGTACATTGGAGAAAAGAGCCACAGCGGGTAGGTACAACACGGAGTGACAACAATGAATAGCTCCCATCTCTTTGGCATCAGTAGAGGTGGATTTGGATCTTGACTACACCTCTTGGCCTTCTGCAGCCTTGCTTTTTTTTTTTTTTTTTTCACTGTGCAATAAGGCTTGTGTCCCACGCCTCGCAGGGATTTTATGAGGATGATAGGTAGTATATGGAGCCTATTGCCTGGCACATTGCATTGTTATTCATCTATTCAGTTGTTACTGTGTGTACAAGGCCAACGCTTTACCACTGAGTCACACCCCTAGGCCTACTGTGTGGACAAGGGACTGTGTTAAGGACTAACATGCAACAGTGGCTCTGATAGACACAGACAGTATCCTCTGCCTGCAGCTTGAGGTCTAGGAAGGCAGTTATTAAACTCTGAGAGTGGGAGAAAGCTCCGTGCACGAGGGTCTGGCAAGTGTGGGGATTATGACAGCACTGAAAGGAAGAGGGAAGTGACAGGCGCCTTTGAGATTTGAGTGGAGTGAGAAGCACGAAGCGAGAAGGAAACAGGTTGGGAAGCCTGAGAGGGCACAAATGAAGCTAAAGTCACTGTTTCATTTCCATTAACTCTGGCGAGCTCGCCCGCTCTGAGGCCTGCATAATCCTGCTGGGTTCTCTGCTTCAGAGGGGCTGAATCCTCCAGTGCCTCTTGACTTTAATCATTTGGGGGTTTCTTTGGTGCCTTGGGCAGACCCTCCCTAGGTAGGTGCTGGATTTGCTCCTTGTCTAGACAACTAGATGTGGCTAAAAGTGGCCTCTTTATAGACCCTGGAGAGTTTACCACTTGCGCCATTCAGCATGCTTCTCTCACTCAAGGCAGCTTTCCTGACTGTCACCACCAGGTAGAAAGGCCTGAAGACCCTCTAAGCATTCCACACCTGGGGCTGTCCATCTGTGGACGCTCTTGGTAACTAGAACTAAGCAAGCACAGAATGGACAGTGGAATAAGAAATCACTGGACCAGTGGCCTAAAGGAGCCAATTTTGTAATGTATCCTCTCTGTCATTTCTGGCTTGGGTCTGTCCCAAGAGTGGGTAGGAAGATGTGGGAACTCTCTCTAATCTGCCATGGAAACAGTTGCGTCCTCTAATTCCCAGCATCATCTGCTGCCCATTAAACCTGACCCTCCTGTTCTCTGTCTCAAGCTTCTCTGCATAGTAAGTGGGACAGTCGGCTAGCTAAGAGGAGCTTTTCTCACCATTGGCTAGGAGATGGGGTGGCTGGTGGCCGGGACCTTGGGGTTGGTCGCATCCAGCTGTGAACACCTTCGTCTGGGACAGTTTCCCTTAGTTCTTCCCTTGTGCCAAACAAGTACAGTTATTTTTATGTGTATTATGACATGAAAAGAACTAGAGAGCTAGGGACTAGAAGCCCCCATACAACTCTGAGCAAAACAAAACAAAAATATCAATATATTACCAAGGACTTTGGAACCGGAGAGTCCTAAACTCTTAATAAATTGGTCTTTTTGACTTCAGGTTCCTACCTAAGCCCTTACACATCCCCTGTCCCCTTCCTCCTAGACAGACCAGGAAAGATTCTTGCTTTCTGGAATCGTTCCAGCCCTGGGGGATCAGAGGTGGAGCTGAGGTGTGAAGAGTTAGCACCTCCAGGAAAAGAATGCTCACTTGTATGTTCCATTCACTTTGCTTTCTCCGGGAGTCAGTAACAGACAAGGCTTCAGAGAACAGTCTGACCCAACTCCATGCTCTTAGCAGCTAGCCTTCTAAGGCACAGGGGAGGCAGCAGAGGCCACCCCGGCACTTGTCCAGGCCACCAGCTACTGCCCACTTATTAGGATCCTGGGTGTTAGTGAATCCCACCTGTCATGGCTCCAGCTTGCCTTGGTCTCTGTGCCAAGGTTCATGAGGAGCTCCAGTGGGACCGTCCGCTCCGTTCCAGCCTCTCTGTGATGTGTCTTCCACTTCCTTCCTTTACTCACTCCCTTCTCTTCCCACTGCACCCTGGGCAGTTCCATAGGAAGAGGAAAGTGACCAGGGCTGGGACCCAGAAGAGACCTGCTAGAGGGGTGAAGGACCAATGGATGAGCAGCTTCTAAATCTGAAGCCTGCGTGCCCAGGCCCCATGAACCCTGTACAATATCCTCAGAGGAGGGCGCTGTCTCCTCGGCTCCCTGCATTCGGTTCGGCCCGGGCTTCATGGTCTCAGCACCCTCCTCCCGTGTGGCTGGCAGTTGCCTGCGGTGGTTCCCAGCCCGCACCTGCATTGGCTGCGGAAGGGTAGGGCAAGTGTGGTCAGGGTGGGGATGCGCCTCCTTGTGAGTGGGTGGCTTTTGACATCTTCGGCTTCTCCACTGAACTGGTCATTCTGTGGGTGGGCACAGAGTGAGGTGCGTTAGATTTGGCCCTGGCTTCTTGGCAAGGGTTCAACAGAAACTGTTGTCAGCTCCCACCGCAGCTGAGGCTCTCAGTGGGTCCTGAAGCTGAGGGAAGCCCAGAGGAAGCACCCACTCTGTCTTGGAAGCTGGCCTGCTGTGGTGAGGGGACAGTCACACACTCAGGAGAGTACTTTGCAAGAAACACAGCTGGGATTTCACTTTCCAGGCACTCTTGGCCTATGTCTTTAGCTAGACACTGCTCTCTTATTCTCTTGCCTTGCCTGACACAGCTCTTGTTTTTAAAATAAATATATAAATAAAATAAAAAGTGTAGCAGACAAGTTCAAAATATGAATTCAGACTGAGGCCTTCCCCCCACCTTTTTTTGCCCCAGAGGTAACTTTGGTAGCGACCTATTTCATCCCACATCTCCAAAAGAATGACTCAGCCTTCACCCACTCTGGAAAACCCTTTGTGGAAGTGAAGCTCTGGTACAGAAACAGTCCTCCTTTTTCTGTAATGAACCTGTCTGGGGTAAATACAACAATAACATTAATAAAAGTTTTTTTTAATCCTGAAAAGAACACAGAAAGGCCTTCTCAAAGATACTGTGCCCAAACTTTCTTTTCCCCCTCCATGTCTCTTTTTAATTGCTTGGGTTCACTGTAGATTGCCCCAAAATTAGCCACAGTCCAGAGCCTGTTTCCCAGCAACCGAAATGCAGAGCATTTTTCCTCTGGATACTGTTCCAGCACCAGTTTCATCCAGTTAATTAGGCTCTTTGTCATTAGCCTTAATCGGCTTGTTAGGGGCCCCTGCTGATAATAGCCCAATAGCCAGGAATCCCAGGTGGAACAAATGAGGCTGGGGGTGTCAGTCCACCGGCCCCGCGTGCCTGCTGAGTGGGCAGCAGGAATCCTACCCAGAAAGGAAGGGCAGAGGGAGCGCAGAAAGAGAGGGGAGGATTTGTGGCAGCCCCCTGCGTCGGTTTTGCATTTTATCTTGGACTTTGTCCAAGATACAGAATCCCCAGAGCTGGCACAGAAGCTTGTCTGAGAAGGAGAGAAGTGAGTTCCTTGTCCGACAGACTCCGGGAAAGAGTTGCCTGAGCCTTTCCTTGGCGCTGGATTCCAGGCAGCAGGAGTTGCTGGCTGTGGGATTGAAACACGGGGAGCAGGCACAGGAACCAGCCAGCACCACGGGAGCCACTGGGCTCACACACCAGAAGGGCAGAGTGTGGTCCAGGGCCCTGGACTGATTTGGAATCTGCTCTCCAAGTGGCCAGCAAAGATCCAGAGCATCGATTGAGCCCCTGCAGGGTGACAGCCACCATCCCATGTCTCAGATGAGGAAAGGGCAGTCACAGAAGGAGTAAATGGGAGAACCACATTCACAGCCTAAGGTTCCCTGACATCATCCTTTCTTTAAGTCGTAGTACAGTGGTACTGTTTGTGAAGGGCACATTCAGATGTCACTGATCTGTACTAGGCTTCAGCTTGGGAATTCAGTTTCAGGCCCTATGGGCAGTCCTGAGACAGGAGGCCAGCTCCAGGGTGACAGGGAAAGGCTCTGGTGTCTCACCTGGCCTCTGCCCTTCAGTCCATTGACTGTGTGTTGGACACACACATGTTGGACAGAGTGTTGTCATTTACACTAAAGCACACATTGCAGGACTACGTGGAGAGCTGTCTGTTCCTCTCCAGGGCCGAGCTTGCTGCCCCGGACCCTGTAGCCTCAGAGGAGGGGGCTGGCACAGAGCAGAGGGGGAGCACACAGCCCACCCCTCAGCAGTTGCGCAGAGAACACACCCTGGGATGTAGAAGATCCCATTACAGAGCAGCAACCCCAAACTGCCACAAGTCTCCCTCCCCGTGAGATCTCCTGTACAGCTAGGCTAGCAAATTAATTCACTTTCTGTGGGGTTATGGCTGGCAAGCCACGTGGAAACTATAAAGGGACGTGCCTGCCTGAATCTGGCAGATCTGGGAGCCTGACCAAGCTGCTCTTTGGGCCAGCAATCAGCTGTCAAGCCTAGCATGGTTGGAAGAGAGCATATTCACCATAGAGATGAGGTGTTGGCCTGAGCAAGGCAGGTGACCCTATTGATATTGCAGGGTCTTAGAGCTGCACGATGCAGGAGACTTCACAGTCTGGCTAAGGTTGGAAAGAATTCTCAATGATCTAGTTGAGTGTTTTCATCACAGTGTCTCCTAATGTCCCATCTGAGCTCTAACCAAGGGTCCAAACTCCCAGCCTCTCACCCCTCCACAACCAAAAACATTTAATAATTTACACTGGAATTTTAGAGGCTTTAACCAGTCCCCTGTGGAAGCCATATTATATTGCTCAGTGTTTCCTGCACCTGCTTCAACAGCACAAGGATCTGAGTTCGATCCCTGGTACCAAAAAACCAAACAAACAAAAAAGACATATAGGAAAGCTATTTATTTCAGAAATCTAAGTTTTTAATCACTGAACTATTCCCTCAGGGATGCTGGGATGTCTGCCCACAGCTTCGGGAGGCCTCTCCCTGCCTGGAAAGATTTCACCTGATTTACTGATGTTTGGCTGAGTCTTCCAAGGCCAGAGGCATTTAGGTTCCCTGTACTTCTGCCCCATCACCTGACTGTGGCTAAATGGAAACTTTGGACCTACCGTGGAGAGGAGAGAGGATGCTGTGCATCGGGGGCCTCAATCTCAGAAGTGGATGAATGTCAAAGGCCTGGCCATGTGCCATCCAAGGAATCAGAAGTGCAGAGTTTAGCAAGCTAAAGGGTGGGGCTGAGATTTCTGAGCCCACAGTAGCTGAACCTTGCCTACCACCCGCTGGAATAGGAGCCTCATACTAGTTTTGTATTGCACAATGAAATGCCTGAGTCTTGGGGCTTTAGAAAGAAAGGTTTATATAGCTCACAGTTTTGGAGGCTAAAAGCCCAACATGATGCCCCATCGAGTGAGCTGGCCTCTGCAGGAACCCCTGGCTGCATCACAAGATGGCAGGTGGCATCTTGGTGGGAGTGAATATGAAAGGGAGAGATCACAGAGGAGACAGGAAGCCAAAGAGTGACAGAGGGGCAGGAGATCCCTGACTAGGCCCTGCCTCTTAAAGGTTCTTTCACCTCTCAACATTGCCGCACTCAGGACTGCACTTCTGAAACATGAGTGCTAAGGGACCCATTCAGATCATATCCCAGTTATAGATGCCCCGTGGGTGCGGATGTGTCTTGTTCCATGCAAGCCCTGCCGTTTGGTTTGTCCCCTGCATGTCCTGCTTCCTCTTATGGAGGAAAAATATGAATATCAAGTCTCACCAACCCTATAATTGAGCCATACTGGACTTCATTCTTGGAAGACCTCCATTCATTGTCTGTAAAATGGGATACTAAAAATAGCAATCTTACGAGGTTGTTAGTGGAACTTAATGATTAATAACTGTAAATCATTTTCAGTGTGACAGGTGTTAGTTCTTTTTCCTGGTGAGCTCCTGCTTGAAGTAGACACCTGCTGAACTTGTGTTGAATGAAAGAGTGAGTGAAAGGTATCATCTCACTCTTGCTTCTTGGCACCTGCTAGTTTCTTGCTCCAGAATTCCCTTCATCACTTGCTCGACAGTTGTGTTGTTTTGTTTTGTTTTTTTGGATTTTTAAGACAGGGTCTCACTATGTAGTTGAGACTGACCTGGAACTCACTATGTAGCCCAGGCTGGTCTGGAACTCACAGCAATCCTCCTGCCTCAGCCTCCCGAGTGTGAGGATTACCGGTGTGCGCCACCACGCCTGGCTTTGACAGTTGTGTTTTTGTAGCTTTACCTAAACAAACCAGGAAGAAACGTGAGCTGTTCTTACAGAGTTTGTGTTTTGTTGCAGGTTCAGACAAGTGGACCTCCCTAGAAAGAAAACTGTTTAATAAAGCACTGGCCACTTACAACAAAGACTTTATTTTTGTGCAAAAGATGGTAAGCATGATTTCCCCTATTGCTTGCTTGAAGTTAAATTTGAAAACTTGTATACACAGAGATACTAAAAAACTTTCAGTACTTGCTTTAACAGCCTTACCAAAAGACTGTCTTCACCCTCATTGGTGAAGGGTCATAGTTGGTGGCTCCAGCTTCAGGGTGTAGGGGGAAGCAAGGGAGGGAGAAAAAGACATAGATTATTTGAATGCTATAATATTGGGGGTCTTTGGCTTAATAATGTATAATTCATAATTCTGTTAGAATAACTGGAGCTTTAGAATCTAGCACTAGGGCTTCTAGTTAATTTACATAACTTATATCCTGTATATTTGACAGATCTATCGTGTTTTTGACAGAATTTTTCTGGGAAATTGTGGAGGGAAGGACACATGACCCCCCCCCCCATCCTGTAGCGAAGTTTCTGGAATTAGTCCCCTAATCACGATGACAGTGAAAATATTAATAATACCGTATGTGTATGGTGTTTTGTAGATGAAATCATACTTTATACAACAAATAGTAAGCTTAATAGGCTTCATTTGGCTGACAGGAGGTGTGGGCTACAAAGTTAAAATGTGGAGACTCTCACCAAGGTGACGAATGATCGCCACACTGGTTATGAAGGATGATGGGGGATGTGCAAGTACACAAAGAACAGTCAGTGACAGCTCCCAAGGCGACTGGTTGGTCCCCAGTGGTGTCCAAGGATTATATGTCTCCTGCTGCTAACCCAAGGCCTAGCCCAGATGAGCATCAGAAATCAGTGGACTTTGTCTCCAACTTGCGTCTACCTCCCGCCCTGCCTCTGCTCTTGCCTTTCCAAGCCTCTGTGGCCACCACATCCAGCAACGCTGACCGTTTTTTTTTTTTTTTTTTTTTTTTTTTTTGCTGGGGGCGGGGGTGCCGGGGATCGAACTTGGGCCCTTGCGCTTACAAGGCAGGCGGCAGAACCACTGAGCTAAATCCCCAGCCCAACACTGACCTTTCTTGAGTCACCTTCCCCCCAGAATCAACCTGGTCTCTTAGCTTTTTGTTGCTATAATATAGTATCCAAAGCTGGGTGACTTCATAAAGAAAAACAGTTTCTTCAGCTCATAGTTGGGGGCTGAAAGTCCAAGATCAGGCAGCTCTTGGTGCAGCCTCTGGTAAGGGCCCAGTGGCAGATGGTGTGGCAGGAGCATGTGCAGGAATGAGAGGTTGCACCCTGAGACAGAGCTCTTCAGGGGCCTGGCTCACTCTTATATAACAACCTGTGCCTTAGGGAGTCACCTCAGTCGCTCCCAGGGCAAGGCCCTCCGTTTCCTGAAGATCCCTCACTGAGCCCCGGCTTATGAAGGCACCACACTTTCTAGTGTCATCGCCCCAGTGACAGGCTTGTGGACTTCTGGAGGGCAAACCACAGCCAGCGGCCTGGTCCCCGCCTTGTTCCTGGAAGGCCCCACACCTGGCAGCCATGGTGAACTCATGATCCAGGCAAAGCTGATATTAAGCAAGGGCACTCTGGGCCCGCGTCCTCACTCCCTGGCTAATTCTAGTGTAGAAATTTCAGGCATCAGGCAGGTGCTGTGGAGGGCACGACTTCTGGCAGGTCCTTTCTCACATGGGAATGGCCACATTCCCATCCCCGGGGGTGGAGCCAGCCTTTAATCTGCCTCTAGAAACCTCTGCCGAGCAGAGAGATACAGGAAATAAACAAAGGAATGTACATCCCTAACCCAAAAAGCTAAAAGCCAAATGCTCCAATGATTTTGGAGCTTTTCAGATTAGAGATGCTGAGCCAGTAAAATCCATATAGATACACAAGATCCAGACACACCCCGAGTCTGAAATACTTCTGAGTAAGTGATACCTTTGCCTCTTTGGGGAAGAACAAGGCAAAGCTCATTTCCTGCAAAAACTAAGCCCTGTCACCATAATTTTTGCTTTATATTCCTATCCTATTACTAAGGAACATTGCTCATGAATAGAATCTGAAGGTCACATCAAAGAACTAAGCACACTCAAACACAACAAATAAAGAGGCAGCTGCTTTATGGGATTAAAAACTGAGTAAGCTCTCTGTGCATTGATCACAAACAAAACTCCAGCTCTTATGTTGAAAAAAAAAAGTTGCAAAACTATTGTGAATTTGCTATGGCTTGTGAAGGAAGGTGATGTGAGAAATAGGGACTTTTGCATGCTGATACCTGCCTACAGAAATTCTGCAGCTGGGCGTAGTAGTGCACACCTATAATCCGGCCGTTGGGAAGCTGAGGCAGGATGATTGCAAGTTCAAGTCCAACCTGGGCAGTTTAGCAACTTAGCAAGACCCTATCTCCAAAGAAAGAGCTAGGGATGTAGTTCCATGCAGAGACCCTCGTACTACAAGGAGAAAGAAATTCAGGAATGATACCCAAAAGATTAATAGGTGGAGTTTGAACAACAGCAGTGAGAGGGAGGGAGGCTGTTCATTGTATCCCTGTGTTTTATTGAACAGAGAGTTCATTTACAAGGATCACAAGGAAACCTATTAATTATCCCCATTGCAAAATTAAATATTCCAAAAAGCTTGCTCTCTGCCCACTGCTGGAGCTAATCCTGAGCACCCATCCTGCAGGTGAAGTCCAAGACAGTGGCTCAGTGCGTGGAGTACTACTACACGTGGAAGAAGATAATGCGGTTAGGGCGGAAACACCGGACACGCCTGGCAGAAATCATTGAAGACTGCATGGTGAGTGACGCCTCCGAGTCCTTGCTCATGCTGGTTAGTGATTGGCTGATGTTTGGTTTGCCTTTGGCACAGAGATAGCCAGATCAGCAGTGTACGGCGCAGGGGGACCGAGGTCTTGCTCCTTACAGGACTCGGGATTTGACTTCCTGGCGCAGGTAGAGGGAAGGCATCCTCAGGTTAGACCTGCAGCACAGGTTTAGTGACACTCGTGAAGGCCGGCAGCTGGAGCCAGGATGGTGCAGTCCGGATGGTCCCAGGCTCCGCTTGTTTGATTTTTAAGCAGGTGACCTGACCTCTGGAACAGTCCATCTGTGTTGTTGTCTTTCGGTACCAGGGATCACACTCAGGACCTTGCATTTGCCAGGCAGGTGTGATGCCACTGAGCTACGTCCCTGGGGAATGTTCCTTCTTGATCCTTCCACATCACTGATTCTGGTGACCATAACATTGCTTAGAAAGACGGAGGCATCCTAGGGTTTCTGAAGCTTGAAGGAGCGGCACTCAGTCACTGAGGACGTGGTGAGCAGCGTGCAGATGACCCCACTCGCTGCCTGCATCCCCAGGCAGCCCCTGCCCTGACTTCCTCTGGTAGCTGACCCCGAGTCACTTGCACTAAAGCCCCAAGATGGAAATAGTCTCCAATAGTCCCGTGTGCGTGGCTTTGGAAATTATCGCCACTCGTGATTCCTTATAAACTGTCTCTCTACTGTGTCTGTAGTCAGGGGAACAGGGGAAATCTTGTCACAGTTGGTGAGAAACGTTCTGGGTGTTCTTGTAAACATCATGCCTCACAGCAAATCACTAGGCTCTAGCCTGTGTCACCACCTACAGCGGCGTTTGCATTCACGAATATTTGCATTTATAGTTTCATTCGCCTTGTGCCTTGGTGATGTTAGTGCATATATGTTATTTTCTTTCGCAGATTCTTAGGTAGTACTTTCTAGGTGCCAGGCATTGTCTAGGCAGTTTATCAACATTGACTTATCTAATCCAATATAATTTATTTAATACCAATTCCCTGAAATAGGAAACTGAGAGAGAGCCTAAGAAAGTAAGCTGGCCACAGTCACACGGCTGGGGAGTATGCTGTCTGAGCCTGATTCCCTCCCGTTATGAGCGACCAAAAACACAAATTCTCTTAGAGAAGTATAAGAACACATGAACTCTTTAGTGCCCAACCTCAGCTCTTAGCTAAGCATTAATCGTAGCTTTGAAATACACACAAATATATATTTATATTTGAGCCTGAATATTAGAATAGAAAGTTGTGGAGTACAATGGCATTGCCATTTTTTAAATCAAAGATAGCCATATTCTGTATTCAAGATGGTCTGTGACCAAGGCTTTTGTTTGGTTTAAATATTGACAACTTATATCAGAATAGCTTTTGCTCATGGGTGGCCTAAAGTTTAAAAGAACAGCATGGCCCCCTCGGTTCAGTCAGCTAAAAGCACTTGAGTTCCCACAATGTAAACAGCAATTTGTAATGGATATAAACAGCAAGGATGTTAAGTGGCCTCCGCCTTCTCGCCCCCTACCACCCAGAGGATATATTCTAGTTAGGACCGTGTGACACATACAAGTGGCAACTTTACCTTGAGCCCAAGAGCGTTTACGAGCCGTGTGAAATAGAAAGAAAAGGTCTAAAGGAGTAGAGGAAGTGGGCAGGGTAGAGGAAAGGAAGGAAGGGGAAAATATATGAGAAAAGGAAAAAAAATGGAAACAGTCTTTGAAAATAAGGAGGGGGGAGGGGGAGGCGAGGGCAGGGGATTGGGGAAAAAATAAAGGTACAAGATCCCAGTAATGAATGTAACTGTTTTGTATACCTCAAAAGTACCAATAAACTCAATGGGGAACAAAGAGAGAGAGCAGTATGTGAACCCAGAAGTCTTTTAAGACAGCCTTGGGGACACTCACCAGTTCCACCATTTCACAGGCAGCAGGCTGGGCCCAGAGAGGGGACAAGGCTTGCCCCAGGCTCACAGAGTATTGCTGGGCAGGTGAGTAGATCGGTCAGTGGAGGAGGAGGCGTAGAGAATCTGGCCTTGGAGCCCTGCTGCCAAACTCCTGGGTTTGTTGAACTGTATGGTGGGTAGGTTGACTTCAATGATGGGAAAATCCCTCCCAATTCTGAATGCGCTGGGCCCTCTCCATGCCATGTTTGCAACAGGAGATTGGAGAGGATACGGTGTAAGGTCATTTGGTACCTCTCAGGCAAGGGTGGCACCAAGTGCCTAGGACAGTGCCTGGCATTGTCTGCTCCTGAGTGGGCGGGTGAACGTTTTTCTGAGCTGGGAGTCCGTCTGTTCATGGGAACGTGCCATCTCTGAACTCTGTGGGAAGATGGAATGAGCAGGGGAGGCAGAACAGGAAGCCCCCAGGGAGAGCTGTCACATGGACAGAGGCACCATCTTGGCGGGTTTCAGAAAGGCCCAGACCAGTGCACAGGTCCCAAGCAGGGAAGGTGAAGATGATGGCCAAGGGCCACACCTTCTGAGCTCCCTCTCCAGGAGCCAGCATTGGGTGGCGTCAGGAGCATCCACACCCTTGTCACTTATGTGCAGAGATGACTCAGCCCACAAGAAACAAGGAAGTCTTGATTGATGAAGGCCAGCCCGGAGCTCCTGCTTCCCCTTGGGCACTGTGTGCACACTGTCAGGCTGCTGAACTCTGTTTGCCCAGTGAAGATGAACGTTGGGACATCTGGGAAGGTGCAGAAGGCACAGTCCCAGGGCAGGGTCCTGCTCTGTGTCCTCTGAACCTGCCCAGAAAGCTGGGAGAGCGCTGCTGATCGTGTGTGCTCAAGGCTATATTAAGAGGCAAGTGAAAGCAGGTGTGAGGGTCCACCCCTGTTATCCCAGCACTTTTGGGACAGGACCAAGGAGTGTAGAAGGCTGTTTTGGAATCAGACCAGGCAGGCTTTGAATCTAGGGTCAGCTTCTTTACCAGCTATGTGACTTGAGAAAACTCTTTCTCTGTCCAGTTTTCTCATTTGTACAGGGTTGCTGTGAGAACTAGGGGTGTGTGTGGCATGTGTGTGTGTGTGTGTGTGTGTGTGTGTGTGTGCGTGGTGTGTGTATGTGTGTTGCCTGATTCATACCGTTTATCCAGTACAGTGTTGTCATTGCTATCAGTAGTGACTGTAACACTCCATTTTATCTTTGAGCAGGTTTGGGTTGTGAATCATTCTAACTTCCTAGTTTCTCATAGTGTGGATTACATTTGCGTGCCTGAGAAATAAAAATGTCATCCCCCTCACAAAAGTCTGTGTGGACGCACGAGGTTTGGGCACTCTGTTAAATACACAGCCTCCTCCCTGCCCTATATTTACCCACTTTGCACCAATTTTAGAATATTACTAAATGTTTCATGTTGCAGTGCATCATAAAATGGCCAACTTGTTGATACAAAGTTCTACATGTTAGGATTTTTGTCCTCCTATCTTTATATCTCTTAGTCATTTTGTGAGCCATATGGCTTGATGATAAATCATTTTGTGAACGTGTATAGATTGCCAGTTGAAACAAAACCCATCTAAATTCCCGAGACATACATAACCACAGTGCAGAGTGATTTAATCTACAATTTCATGGGTGTGTGAAATGCTTCTTCTAAGTTTTTAAGCCAAAGAATGGCACTGTGAGAAAAGTAGAACAAGTACCATGAAACAAAGACAATTGTCATTAAAATTTAATTGGGTGGTTCACTCTCGGTACAAAACTGTAGACCATGGTGTATTGACTATTTGAGACTGCAAGGTCCCAGTTTTTTAAAGAAGTAGGAAAAACCCTTGGAGTTTGACATAATATGGTTTTTCCTAAACCTCTTGGTCTGAAAGTTGCTGAAGGGGTGCCAGGGGCGAAGCCACTGCAGAGCGGTGTGGTGAGAAGTCTGCAGCGTACATCACACACCACTCTGTAAAACGATTAGGTCTCCATCAGTATTCACTGAACTGTTCCAGCAAATATAATCATTACTAATTAATCCTAATTAACCCACTGGAAACTGGATCCATTTCTTAAATCCGCCTTGCTAATCATACATCGCCGTGAGCCCGCGGGTGTGTGATATTACAGACGGACACACCAGAGCGGTGCAGGGTGCCGGGTGCCCCACTGGCATTGTCTTTCTCACCCATACACCCCAAACCCAAATGGGGGAGGATCCCAGAGCACCACTGCCCTCAGAAATCTTTGTTCTTCTTGGAAATTGTACTTCTGGGTGCTAGGAATCATTTGACTCCCCAGTTGTTCGCTCAGGGGAAACAAAACTGGCGCACACTTGCTCCGTGAGTGGGCGTGCACAGAGGGCCTGGCAGAGACGAGTGTCTCCCCAGTTGTTCGCTCAGGGGAAACAAAACTGGCGCACACTTGCTCCGTGAGTGGGCGTGCAGAGGGCCTGGCAGAGACGAGTGGCCTCTCGGGGCAGAGGCAGTGGATGCCCCTTGTGTTTGCTCCTCTGTAAAATGAGAGGGTTGGTTACGCCTGTTTGGTGACGCAATCAATGTGAAAGTATTTTGTAAACATAAAATACAAGCTGCACTGAGGAGAATGTGCTGTAGAATCCCTTTCCTCATCCTCAGCCTTTCCTGGGGCTGTGGGAGGCAGCGGCCCTCATTCAGCACCTAAGGAGGGGTTCTGTGGGCCGGGGATTTAGCTCAGCGGCCCAGTGCCTGCCTGGTAAGTGCGAGGTCCTGAGTTTGATCCTCAGGACCAAAAAAAGAAGAGGTAGGGTGAAGCCTCCGGCATCAGGCCCCGCTCCCGCACCGCATTGGCCTCAAGGGGCTGGGGGAAGCCTCTGCTTCTATGCTCCTTGCGGTCCCCTTTGTGTCATGGGAGACACGATGTAGGAGCTGAGAGGATAATGAGTTTTGTACCCTTTTTTTTAAATGCCTCTGGGAGGGGAATATGAGCAGATAGAAACACTGACTTAGACTGCTTTCTCCAAACCCATGGTCAGAAACAAAAGAAAATGCACCTCATAAGTTTAAGGGAAATCTCCCTTTAAGTTAAAGGGAATCTCCCCTTCTTTTTTCCTTCTTTTTCTGATACTTCTGACAAAAGCAGAGTAGGAATTTAATGCCATGGGGCACATCAGGCATTACCCCTGGGAGCATGTTGTCAGCCTCTAAACCAGCTGGGCGTGGTGGCACATCCCTGCCCATCGCTTGAGATGTTGAGGCCTAAGTTCAAAGACAGCCTGGGCTACCTAGTGAGTTCAAGACCAGCCTGGACTACATAGCAATACCTTGTCTTTAAAGGAAAAATAAAAGTCCTGAAAGCCAAACCATTGTGTGTCTCTGGTTTCTTTCTGGGGAGGGCTCCCCAGTACCCGCCCCCCACACACACACACTGCTGGGACCAGCGGTCTGGCTGAGGTTTGGTCATTTATAAGGTCTAATGGTCTTGAACGAGGCAGAGAATCTACCTACAAAAATCTCTCCTCTGGCCGGGCTTAATGGCATAAGCCTGCAATCCCAGCACTCTTTGGAGAGGCTGAGGCAGCAGGAAGATCCCAAGTTCCAGCCCAGCCTGGGCAACTTAGTGACTTAATGAGACCCTGTCTCAAAATACCCTTGATCTTAGCCAAAAGGCCAAGAAGCGATTGACCCTGTCTCAAAATAAAAAATAAATCCCCAGTACAAAAACAAAACAAAACCTCTCCCCTCTTTGCCTAAGCGTTTTTTTATACAAGAGATGAGGGGACCCAAAGTATGGCAGGAGGCCTTCTTTTACTTCAAAATTCTAAGCATCAGAGACCAACCTTTTGAGCCCAGCCAACTGTCAGTTGCTCTTAGGCAGAAAGAAAGTGACACAGCCCCAGTCCTAGCCCCTGTACTAGCCTAAGAGTTCTGTCGCCACTAAAAATGCTCTTTGGGGATTTCCCCATTCTTGCTTTTATTAACATTAGACAAGTGAAGAAGAAGAAGATTTAGAGGAGGAAGAGGAGGACCCGGAAGAAGACAGAAAATCCACAAAAGAAGAGGAGAGTGAAGTACAGAAGTCCCCAGAGCCTCCACCAGTGCCTGTCCTGGCTCCCACCGAGGGACTGTCCCTGCAGGCCCCTGGCCAGCCCTCTGGCGCCTTCATCTGTGAGATGCCCAACTGTGGCGCTGTAAGTGGGTGTGTCTTCCGGGGCTGGGGACAAATGAGAGCTAGCTGTAAGAGGTGACACATTTTTGAAAGGGTGTGCTTGCAGCACTGATGGTTCTGCAGTGCACACCCTGGGCTGGGCATCCCCCAAGGTCGCACCCCATGGGTGTACTGGCCCCCACTGCCTGAAGTTCCACCTGCCTGGCAAGTTTTGCCTAAAGTGTGACTGATTCGGTTGTCACTGATTAGAAATTTGAGAAGGTTACTGCAAAGGATAGCTGAAGTTTGTCTTTGTACTCTATGGGGGTGAAAACATGCACCCAGCAAACTGATCATTTCTGAAGGGGAGTCTGTCAGCACCGGAGGGAGCCTTCCGGAGGCTGCACTGCCTGTACATTTTAAAGAGAATGTTCAAAAGCGGTCTCCTGTGGGCTCTCAGTAGCCCCTGTCCCCTACTAGTATGAACTGGTGTCTTAAAGCCGACACACCTGTGTAGACAAGTGCTGTAGCACTCCCAGGTGGGGTGCCGCTCCTTTCACAGGAAAGGAGCCAGTCCTCAAGTGCCTCTCTTGTCTTTGCTTGTATAAGATAGAGTGTGTTGGATGCTGCTTATTGAGTCTGTCGCATAGATGAAGACACCAACTGTCCTTAAAATACTCATATCCTAGCCAGGTGTGGTGGTGCACACCTGTCATCCCAACACTCTGGGAGGCTGAGGCTAGAAGATCACAAACTTGAGCCCAACCTGGGCAACTTAGCAAGACTTGACAAAAATTTTTCAAAGCTGGGTTGTAGCTCTATCTCAAAGCCCTGTGTTCGACCCAATATTGAAAAAAATGGATAAATAAATACTCACCTCCTGAAGCAGAAGTTCACTTTATTTACATTGAAGGAAAAAGTGAAAAGTTAGGGGATAAAAGGATGTGTGCCTTTTGTGTTAGCTCTGAAGAGAACATAAGGAGCCGCCATTCGTTTCCATCCCAGATGTTTAGTGGCCTGGCCCCTCGCTCTGTCGTTGCCATTTTGCATAGAGCACTTCGGGGTGACCAAGATATGACTATAAATGACAACATTTCTTGGTGAATTTGTTCAGAAACCGGATGCTTCTCCAATTTACAACTGTAGCATACACTACAACTTTTTGCTGAGCAGAAAGTCACCTTGTACTTTCTCCAATCAGAAATGCTCAGAAAGATCATTTTTTAAATCGTGCTAGTTGTATTCCTTGCCTAACATTGGAGGCAATAGTTGCTAAATTAGTGAGGGATAAGTTTTTTTCTCTGTAAGACAAGAAACAGGGTTCATGAACGGAGCGCAGAGCAACCCTTCCAGCCGGGCAGCTTGTGGGACAGCCCCTGGCTGATAAGGAGCCAGAGGCTCAGGATTCAGGGGTATGGAGGGCAGTGGTTCTGAACTGGGGTGCTTGTTCCCCCAAGAACAGTTGGCAGTGTCTGGAGACATTGTTGTTAGGGCAGCAGAGGTGGCACCTGGTAAGGAGACCCCAGAGACGCCACTAGGCACCCTGCAGCGACAGGTCAGTCCCCACTGCAGAGAATGGCCTGGCCCTGATTCTCCCCAGAACTCAGCGCTAAGGCTGGAGACGCTGCTGTGTGGCAGTCTTTGAAACACTGCCCAGGTCCTTCCCTTTTAGCACCTGGTCCTCAAATGTGGGGATCCCAAATGCCACCTCAACAGGGGACTCCTGGGCCGGGGGTGTAGTTCAGTGGTGAGCACTTGCCTAGACACGGGAAGCTGTTGGTTCTAAACCCAGTGCTGCAAAGAAGAAAGGAAGGGAAGGGTAAAACAGTGGGCTGTGCTCGAGTCTGTAGGTAACACACAGCCTGTATCAGAGCGCATCGTTGTTGGCTTCTGAGCTCTCTTCTTTGGTGTGCTGGGCTTCCTGGAGGGAGGCAGAGCTGAGCTAACAGGTTGAACCCTGGGCTGCTGCCTCCACTTCAGCCAGCGAACCTCTGCTTGTAACTTGAGGTTGGAGTAAGACCAAATGTGTTAATAAAGAGACAGAGAGGAGGGAGGGAAGGAGTTAGTTTTCATCTTTAAACAAAGTTTGATGCAGTGACCCACACGTAGCCATGTTAATAACAGAATAACTCATAATAGCTAAATCTTGGAAGCGCCTACATGTCCATCAGTAGATGAATAGATAAAGCAAAGGTGGTGTTTACACGCAATGGAGCACTACTCTGCCACAAAGAAGGATAAACTCGAGTCACTGTAGGAAACTGGATGCACCTTGACCATAATGCTACAATGAACTATACCAGACATGGAGGGTTAACTATCACATGGTTTCTCTTATATGAGAAGCCTAAAATAGGGCCGGGGATTTAGCTCAGTGACACAGTGCCTGCCTCACAAGCGCAAGGTCCTGAGTTTGACCAAAAAAAAAACAACAAAAAAAAGAAACCTAGGGCCAGGGATTTAGCTCATTGGTTCCACTGCCTGCCTTGCAAGTGCAAGGACCTAAGTTCGATCCCCGGTGCCAAAAAAAGAAAGAAAGAAAGAAACCTAAAATATGAGTTATTTAAAGAGTCAAATGAGAGATGGTAGAAAGCAGGGAGGTAGACTGGAGATGGGAAGGGGATTTGGGAATGAGGGGAGACAGGAAGGCAGAGAGAAGGGAAAGTAAAAATGGTTAGGACTCAAAATGTGTATGTACCAGTTCCCCAAGATGAATGCAATTATTATATCACAAACATGTACTGATAAAAATTTTGAAAGCTAATTCAGCCCCTTCTTATTTTGCAGAAGGAAAATAGCTAACAGCCTCCCCATTAGTTATGATAATGCAGGATCTAGACGCCTTGTCTCCTGGCTTCAAGATGGCAAAATGAAGCCGGACGTGGTGGTGCAGGCCTCTGACCCTAGCACTCTGGAGGCTGAGGCAGGAGGGTCCCTGTGAGTTCAAGGCCAGCCTAAGCTACATAGTGAGACCCCATCTCATAAAACAAACAAAATGGCAAGACGGGAGGTTGTGTATTTGCCCTTGAGCTTCTATGGTACCTGCCCGAGTTTGCTTCGGTAAAACTCTGTGCCCATTTTACACTGTTGTGTGTGTCCCTGTTTCACTATTGAGTAACTAACACCCCTAATTTCCTTTTCAGGACTGTAGATGTCATGTCACTCCCTTTCTTCCCCAGGTGTTCAGCTCCCGACAGGCACTGAATGGCCATGCCCGCATCCATGGTGGCACCAACCAGGTGACCAAGGCCCGGGGAGCTGTCCCCTCCGCGAAGCAGAAGCCAGGCGGCGCCCAGAGCGGGTACTGCTCGGTGAAGAGTTCGCCCTCTCACAGCACCACCAGTGGCGAGACAGACCCCACCACCATCTTCCCCTGCAAGGAGTGTGGCAAGTAGGTGGCCGGGCCAGGGACAGATCCCAGGTCACCAGGTCCTCTGTGGCGCTGGGCAGGGACAGCCCAGGTTTCTCCAGCTAGAGGAAGAACGGGGCTCCCGGGCTCCCCTTCCGCCGACCTTGGGCTCTGGAAGGGGCTCTCCCGACTCGGACTGAGGGCACTAGTGTCTCTCTGCGTCCTGACCGGAAGTGCCCTAGAGGTGCCCGCGCCCGGCGCCCTGGCCATACTACTCATTGATCAGTCACCGTGCTCCACTGTCCCGTTAAGACAGAACCACAGATGCTTTTTATCATGAGCAACTAATTAGAGTCACGTGTGAGGCTAAACCTGTTTGTGTCCCTGCCCTTTCAGGTATAAGGTTTAACAGTAACTAAAGGCGGTGTTAATTACAGCAGCTCACATAACTGAGCATTTACTCTGTTACCTACCCTGCGGGCGGGAGCTCATTTAGTCCTCACACAGGAGCTCATTGTGATGAGTTCACGGTCCCTAAACCCTTGGTTTACAAGGAAGATTTAGGAGCCAGGTGTGGTGGTGCACATCTGCAGTCTCGGCTCTCTGAGAGGCTGAGGCAGGAGGATTACAACTTCAGGCTCAGCCTGTGCAACTTCACGAAACCCTATCTCAAATAAAAACAAGAAAACGGCTGGGCATGTAGATCAGTTTGGAGGTCTGGGTTCAATTCCCAGTTTCTAAGTACTGAAGAAAAAAAAAAGAAAAAAAGATTTAAATTTAGGTAAAACGCTTTGCCCCGGGCACACTGCCAGCAGAGAGCAGTTTCTAACCAAGCTGTCCTGCTGCAGAGGCTGGGTTCCTGACCACTGTCCTGTCCTCTCTGCTTTGTCTACCCACTTTAGGAAGGAAATACCGGTGGTGAGATGCACAGTTCTCTCCCTTCTCTGAGTCGGCCTGACTAGAGGGCGCTCTGTGGTCACACAGGACCCTTTCCCCATAACCTCTGTCCCTCAAATGTTCAAAATTACCTGGAGAGACGCCCCTAGGGAGAAGACACCCCCGGGAGGTGTCGAGGACTGTGCCTCCATGGCCTCACGGACACTGTGGGGGCCTCTGAGCAACCCTAACACAGTTCAGAGGCGGCCACTGGGTGCCTCGGGCCCAGTGCTTCCTCCCCTCCGGGAAACGCAGCAATGGGGAAATTAGGATCAGTCTCCTCTGTGCCTTGCAAGAGCTCAGAGCCTGGACAGGGTGGCATCCTGACATTGCCCTGTGTTGGGGAACCAGGGAGGGAGGGAGTGCCAGGCTGATCCCCGGCTGCTTTACTCCCACCTGTTGCCCTGGAGCTGAAGTGTGAGAGCTGCAGGCAGCCAGCGCCTCTCCTTCAGTTCGCACGGGCTACAAGTTTATTCCACAAGATGGAGACAGAGGATGCTTTTACACAAACGCATATAGGTTGAGCCTTTGAAACCCTGAAACCTGAAAGGCTCCAAAATTCGAAACTCTGTGAGCCTCAGCAGGATGCCACAAGTGGAAAATTCCATTCCATGAAACTTTGTCTCGTGCACAAAATTATCCAAAATTATCATATAAAATTACCTTATCATGGGCCAGGGGTTTAGCTCAGTGGCAATGCGTCAGCCTGGCAAGTGCAAGGTCCTGGGTTCAGTTCCCGGTACAAAAAAATAAAATAAGTAAAAATAACAACAAAAAATTACCTTATCATGTAAAATCGTAAGACTCAAATGAATTTCATGTTTAGACTTGGGTGCCAGCCTCAAGATGTCACACACACACACACACACACACACACACACACACACACACACACACATATATGTATATATGCAAGCATTCCAAACTCTGAGGCACTTCACCCCCGGCACTTTGGTAAGAGAGACTCGAACTTTATTTCACACTTTCTGGCTGTCTTTCCAGGGGTATGTGTTCAATATTTTTCTTGGTTTTGTGCTGCTTGAGTTCTTTTTCTACGAGAAGTCCAGTTAATATCTTATAAAAATCAGATGTTTTATGTGGTTTGGTTTTGGTTTTGGTACTGGGGACTGAACTCAGGACCTTGCCCTTGTGAGGCAGGCAGCAGAACCACTGAGCTAAATCCCCAGCCCATGTTTTATGTGGTTTTAACATCAGGCAGGAATGCTTCTTATAACTCAGCAACCTTGTTGACTTAGGCCTTAGAAACCAGGGTTTTGATTTCTTCCCCCCTCTCCTCCCTTCTTCCTTCTTCCTTTCATTTTTCCTTTGTGAGCTTGGAAGTGAAAATGGAATCTGGACATAGTAGTCCTGCAGATGATCCAGAGAGTAAATATGCTCAGCTTTGCCCAGTCTGAATTGCTCAGCCCTGCGTCGTAGTGCAGGAGCAGCCATCAGTGATACACAAACCGATAGACAGGGCTGTGTTCCGCTGAAACTTTATTCCCAAAGAACCGGCTGGATCTGACCCACTGACCATAGTTTGCAAGGCACCTGATCTAAAGAATGAACCCCCCAAATCTGACACCCTTTTCCCAGGGTGGTGTAAGCTCAGCACTGTTACATTTTGGGTTTCCTTGTTTGATTGAGGAAGAGACTGTATTCTAAGTGGGGCATTTAGCAGCACCCTAGGCTGCCCCGCTTGATATCAGCAGAACATCTCCCCCACTCAGCTGAGACCCAGAACTGTCCCCAGACATCACGGGACATCCTGTGTGAGGACGCGTTCACTCCCAGCTGAGACCCTTTCTCATTCCAAGGCCAAGAGTAGGAGATTATGATACTGCAGTGGCCAACAGGAAAGGGCCTTCAGCAACAAGGAGGGGCGGCTGCAGCTTAGGAGTCCAGCTCAGTGAAGTCAGAAGAGATGGTAACAGACCACAGTCGTGCACACGAGGTGGAGAGGACAAGAGACTGGCGGGGAGGGTGGGAAGAGAGAAGGGGACGCCGCACGCATGCGGGCAGATCCAGCACTGTCCGTGGAGGAGCGGGGTGGAGGCCCGGGCGCTGTCCGGTTACTGTACGACGGGGACTGTCAGAGCTCTTGGCCGGTTGGGGATTCCCCAATGCAGAGGGGCTAGGAAGGGGCCGGGCCAAAGGAAGAGAAAGAGCAGGAGCTCCAGACTCTGGAGGGATGGGAAGGCCTCCTCCATCGTCCTCAGAAGAAAGCTTGACTCACCAGTCGCTGTGTTCTGGTCCCTGACCCTCTTGTTTGAAATGCTTAGAGAGGAGGAGGTGAGAGGCCACAGCAGGCAGAGGTCCTGGGGTTCTGTCAAAGACACCCCAGACGGGCCATCCAGCCTGCACCCCTATTCCCTGCGGGATACCAGCATTTCCACGGACTTGATCACTTGCTGCTTTCTCCTTTTTTAGGGTCTTCTTCAAGATCAAAAGCCGAAATGCACACATGAAAACTCACAGGCAGCAGGAGGAGCAGCAGAGGCAGAAGGCTCAGAAGGCAGCTTTCGCAGTAGAAATGGCAGCCACGATCGAGAGGACTACGGAGCCAGTGGGGGCACCGAGGCTGCTGCCCCTGGGCCAGCTGAGCTTGATCAAACCCATCAAGGACATGGACATCCTCGACGATGATGTGGTCCAGCAATTAGGAGGCGTCATGGAAGAGGCTGAGGTCGTGGACACCGATCTGCTCTTGGATGACCAAGACTCAGTTTTGCTTCACGGTGACACGGAACTCTAAAGCCCTGTTTGTCGCTTCCAGACAGCAAGAACCTACGGCTTCCCTCCTCATGAATCAGGAAACCTGGACTGCCCACTTGTTTTGTAAACCCTTTCAAACTACCTGTTTAAAAAGTGGTTGTTTTATTCAGGTTTAGAAAAAAAAAATCCAGTTTCTTCTCCTCTTATTTTTATAACTGTTTCTGTTGGGGGTCGGGGGGAATAAATAATTGGCACAGCTATCTTTAAGAGGTGTTTCATCTGGGCTACATCCTCATGGGGAATGAACCTGACATTCGTGTTCCATTGCTCGTAGGTGGCAACCATCCCGGAAGCCTTCTATCGCAAAGCTTGCTGGGAGAATGTGTACATGTGAATGCATGAGACAGGCAGCCCTCTTCGTGCTGGGGTTCTGGGTCATCTTGTCTACCTGGAGTTGTCTATATTCTGTTCTGACCTACCAGGAAGTCTTCTTTTCCCCCCACAAAATAGCTCAGAAGAGCCTGTTCTTTTGTCTGTGGTCAGGGGAGGTCTGAAATTACTTTGTGCCACTTGGACGTCCTGTGAAACCTCCACTGGGATTTGGCTAACATTCACACCTGGACTAAAGTCTATCTAGAGGCTAGCTACGAAGAATGAGTTTTCTAGGACATAAGGACGGCAGATATGAGGGAAATTGTGTTCAAAGCCAACAGAAACGGTTTCAGATATGCTTTAGCTACTATTTGGCATTCAAACCTGAATGTATTCTCTGTAAGTCACTTACCAAAGCATTCCTAGACTTCACTAAGCTGCTAAGCTGCATGACTTTGCTCCACCACCTCCTGCCCCTGGCAGCAGGGCTGCTATTGATACTTGAAGGCAATAAAACCTATAATCCTTCAAAAATGTCATTGCCCAGGCTTTTGAACTGAGTCCAACTGACCCAGCCAACTGTTGGTGCAAAAGTCAGCCTGGGGTGCAGCCCCTCACCGAGAGGACCCTGCTCCTCTCAGCGCCTTGTCCGTGTTTGAGCATACTTTCTTTGGGGGGTACGGGGATCGAACTCGGGACCTTGTGCTTGTGAGGCAGGCGGCAGACCCACTGAACTAAATCCCCAGCCCTTCTTGTCAGTGTTAATGCTGTGTTGTCCCTACTCCCAGGTCCCCCTTCTTAGGGAAACTCATTCCCCAGCCCCATGGGAGTGGCTGGCTGGCACACTGACAGGCTGACAGTAGAGAGACTATCATCGGAGGCAAGGGTGGGAACGGGGCATCCTTTGAATTCAGCTCCTCAGGAGCGTTTATCACACACCCATGGGACCAGTTGCAGTCCAGCACAGCCCCCAGGCAGGGGTTTCTGAATCTCAGGAAGGCCACAGACAGAGGAAAGATAGATTCACTCTGTTTTGATTGTTTTGTTTTCAGAGAAGTTGTCTTAGAGATTTCCTTCATCTTTCCTTTAGGAGAAAAAGAAAAGTTTGCTCTCTTTCAACAGGTTGTTCTATCTTGTGTTTTACTGAAGTAGCTGGGCACTGTGCACCGGCTTCCGGCAGAGCTAGGATAGAACCCTTCTAGAGGCCAACTCACTGGCCGGTGGAGATGTAACCTGTTCCCATGGGTGTCTGAGGGTGAGTCCGGAACGGTTCTAGCAAAGCTCATCCAGCAGAGGAGCAAATGCCCAGAACAATGCTCAGAAAGCACATTTCCTCTTGTTCGGAGATTTGCCCAGTTCTTCCAGTTTTAAGCATTAGAGATGAGTTGAGTTGTCACAGTGAAGACGAGATGCACAGTTTGATTTTAATTTTCCCTGCACTACAGTGTATGGATCTCTGACTTGAACTAACCAAAGAACTCCTCCTTAATGGGACAGTTCGAACACCTAAATGAGTATTTCTCAACTATCAACTGAAAAAATTGACTTCCTTTAAAATATTGCACTTGTTTTTTTCCTGAAATGATTCTGCCTGCGTGTCTGTGCTGTGTCTCAAATCTCTCCCCGCAGCCCACCCCAGAAACTTTCCTTCCTGACTGTCCATGTCTTCAACATGGTTACCTGTTTACGATCAGATGGTTTTTTCATTCGTGAATTTAGACCTCTTCGAGAAAGCTTGTATATAAAAAAGTTAACAGATATATTTTATGGAAAAACCCATCTTATTTTCAAATATATTTAACTGCTGTTATATTTTATTAGAGGAAGGTTGTAAATATTTTCTAGGAGTTCTATTGTAAAGAAAAGTATTTTTGAAAAAAATTAATGTAATAAAAAGGAAAACATTTTTAAATAGCGGTTGTGATTGCTTCCTGTTCTGGCTTCATTATGTTCTATTTTCAGCAAATGACTCGCATGCCTTCCATATTGGGATGTAATTTATTCAGGTTTGCACTATTATGTAAGTCGACATCATAATATCTAGTGTGCTTAACTGTACTCTCCCGGAATGCAGTTCCTTTGGTCCATATCAAAGCACTATGTATAGCATATTCATAATTTTTCTTTTGTAATGTGTGTATTTTTAATAAGGATTTTATGTAACATTTTGGCAAAAAAAAAGAGGACAGTATTTTCTAGTGAATTTTATAATAACATTTTGCTAAAAATGTTTCTTCCTAGGTCAGTTTTTGTTAAGGTGAACCAAAAGTCTTATTTTACCAGGGGTTTGAAAAAAGTTTGAGGCTTGAAAGCAAAGTTATATTTAAACATCATATGTAACAAATAAATAAAGATGTTTTATAGACTTGTCCTAAAAAGGTGCATTCCTTTAAAAAGAGAAAAAAGTAACTGGGACATTCTAAATTGTTTTCCCATCCTGCGTGTTAAGGATTTTTTGGGTTTTTTTTAATTATCACAATACCTTTTCAGGAAGAAAACTAGGAGAACTTTAGTGAGGTTCCAATCATCAGGCTTCTCAGAAATTTATTACAGTTCCTCCAGACGGGCATTCATCAGATAGAAATGTAACCAAATATACACTTATATTTATTTGTGAAAACCTGATTCGATATTGCATCAGCTGCTCTGAAAATAAAATATCTTTTTTTGAGTTTCTCTCGGCTTGCATATTCCTTATTTCTAGCCACTGAAACGACGTCTTGATTCGCGATCAAGGCGAATTTGCCTGGTATTGGTTCCTGTGCACAACAGGCTTGGAGGTTTGCCTCTGGGAAGCCTGCCGGCTGCTGCGCTGTCTGAGGGAAGACGAGGCACTCGCGACCAGCCCCCTCCGGCTCTGCCTCACCCAGCGCAGAAGTCTGACAGGAAGTGCTCTACAACGTCCGTGTCCACCCTGGTGTAGGTGCACTGTCAATCTGAATTTCCAGTTTTAAACGCGCATTGCTTTTTAACAATCAACAGGAAACTCTAAAAGAAATTTGAAAATGTAGAATCTGCCCTAAGCAGGGCACTCCTCTGCAAGTCCAGGTTCTCTTCTGCTCTGAGATCTTTCCCAGTGTATGTAATGTTTAGCAAATTCTCCCACCCCTTCTTGGTTCTCTTAATCTGCAAAACAGCATAGTACTTGCGGGGAGGAACGGTAACTTTAGTCAAAATTTTATTTAAATCTACAAAGCCTTCACATAAATCAATTGATTTTTTCCCGTACAACCTTGTGAACCAGAGGAGCAGCGTGTTACAAACAGTGGGTGACACTTATCCTGTATTTATGTGTCTGCTGTAGTACTAAATAATATCGTAAAGCAGGATCACATTTAATCCTCACAGCAACTACTTGAAGAAGGATCTATTATCATCATTCCTATTTGGTATGAGAAAACTAAGGCTGGACACAGTGGTGCACACCTGTAATCCCAGCGCTCCTGACAGCTGAGGCAAGAGGAAAGATTGAGCCCACCCTGGGCAATGTAGTGATTTAAAGAGACCCCGTCACAAAATAAAGATAGTAAAAACTAAGAGCTTTAGCTCAGTATGAAGGCCCAGGGTTCAATCCCAAATAGTGTGAAATAAATAGAATAAAGGAAAGCTGAGACTCAGAGCGGAGTCCAGTTATGAGTCTTTTCACTTCGAATTAAACTATGGTGAACATAAGCAACTAGACAAAATACACGGGGGTCGTCACAGTAGGTGAAACTATAGGCAGCTAAATTAGGTAAAAACATTATAGGCAGCCAGACAGGACTAGGACCTCAAGGGAGTCAATACAAAAGATGAAAATACATTACAACTGTAGCAGGAGACACATTTGTTGGAGGCCAGGCCTCAAGATAAAGGCAAAATGACCAGACCTGCATACTTTCCAAGGGATAAGTGGTAACACCTGGCCCCATAAAGTCTAGATAGACATCAGTCACCCTGGTAGGCAACCAAGACCTCCAGATCCATCCCTTCCTAGGAGGGTTATTTTTCTTTTCTTTTCTTTTTCTTTTTCTTTTTCTTTTTTTTTTTTCAGACAGGGTTTCACCATGTAGTTGAGACTGACCTGGAACTCACTATGTAGCCCAGGCTGGTCTCGAACTCACAGCAATCCTCCTGACTCAGCCTCCCAAATGCTGGGATTACAGGTGTGCGCCACCACGCCCAGTTTAAAGGGTTATTTTTCTTTCCATGTACACTTGCTAGGTGACATTCTTCCCCATTAGACCCATATTACCTAAGCAGCTATACCTATAATCTTATTCGTTGATCATAATTTTGTCCCACGTTGTACCCACCTCATGATTTTGCTCTATAATACTTCCTCTGTGAAGTGGGATCCCGGGCAACCCATTCAGACCCTCTCCTATCTCTCTCAGGAGCTAAAATCTCTCCCTCCCAATAAATATTTCCTACTCATAACTTCCATTGTTCCTAAAATTCATTCTTCAGTTTTGGGGAACACAAACTCAGGATTCTGACACCCAACAGGTTGAGAGTTATATTATTTCCCCTATATCATTTAAGGGTCCTCTATCAAAGGCAGTTATTGTAGAATCACAAATACTGGGGCAACACAATGAAATGAACTGTGTAAAATCAGTAGGAAAGTGTTATACAAGTTGGCTGGAATGCCAACATGGTGGCACCCAACTGTAATCCCAACACTCTGGAGGCTGAGGCAGGAGGATCCCATGAGTTCAGGGCCAGTGAGACCCTGCCTCAAAAAAACACTTTAAACCAGACATGGTGGCGCATGCCTGTAATCCCAGCACTCAGGTGGCTGAGGCAGGAGGATCTCTGTGAGTTTGAGACCAGCCTGGGCTACATAGTGAGTTCCAGATCAGTCTCAACCACCTAGTGAGATCCTGTCTCAAAAAACAAAAAAATTAAAAAAATTAAAAAGCTATTAGGCTTGGGATCTAGCTCAGTGGTTCTGCTGCCTACCTCACAAGCACAAGGACCTGAGTTTGATGCCCGGTACCAAAAAAAAAAAAAAAAAAAAAAAAAGATTACAAATACAGTCGCTGAGGTGATATCGATCCAGTGAGCAATCACAAAGTGGGTATGAGGTGGGACAAAATTAGGGTCAACCAATAAGATTATATGTATAGTCACTTAGGTAATATTGAAATTAAATGGGGATCAAATGGGGACATCAGTCATCTATCCAGCGAGCGTACATGAATGAACCAGATTTTTCTGGGAAGGAGTGGGCTAGGGAGGTTTTGTCCCCCACCCAAAGGGATTGAAGCCTATTTAGAGTATCAATCAATCATTGTTCCTGCCCAGGGGAAATCTGTAGGTGTAGTCAATCCTGTCTGGAACTCTGGCCTTCAACAAGGCCTTCAAGGTATACGTCTCCAGCCACAGCTAAAATGTGTTCTTATCTTCTGCACTGACTCTCTCCAAGGACCATCCTTGTCTGCCTATAGCATGTCTAACTTAGCTGTCTGTCATACAAGGACGCCAGTCAGTGTGGGGAAGGAAAGTAAGTTTAATACAGCTAGAAGAAGACTGACATAAGGTGAAGGATTAAGATTTTATTAGTGGTAGCCCCCCCACACACACGGGTGTGTTTTACCAACAAAACCATACATGACTTTGTAGATATAAAGCATTGTTTTTGTAGGAGAAAATAGATGGGACTTGGAAACTCTTACATATGGGCTGAAGCGATTTTACGCAGACTTGGAACCAAGAACCCCTACGAAAAGCAAGCACCACCTCTCTGTGGCTGTCCCTGGGCCGGAAAACAAGGATACACTCTGTCTTTCGCCGAACTCTATGATCTGACGGAGGCACCATAACCCGGAAGCGATCCTGGGAGGTCGGGAGCAAGATGGCGGCGCCGGGGGCTCTTCAGGCTGTGAGGGGCACCTTCTGGCAGGTAAGGACGGAGGGGCGCAGTTGTGACGAAGTCTCGTGCCACCACTGCTCGGCCCATCGGGAGCCTTCCCGATATTTATCGCTCACTGTGGACCGTTTGCAAAACGAAAAGGGCTGGTTTTGTCTCCAGTTCCCTCGGATTAAACACGAGAGTGAACATGTTGGGGTGAAGGCGGGCATAAGAATTGTCAGAGCTGGGAAGGACGGTGAGCGCCATCTGTTAACGTCAGGCGTTCGCAGACCCCGAGCCTCAGAGGGCTGGAGTCTCGAGAAAGTCCAGGGCCTAACCGTCCGCAGGTGTCAGGTGCCTTCCCATTGAACGGACTCGGCGTCCCCGGGCCCCTCGGAACTCGTATGAAACGAGGGTCTTATGGTTAGTTTTCTGGGAAATAAAATTGCGAATCGTAAAAATACTCGCTTAAAGCTGGACGTGGTGGTGCACGCCTGTAATCTTGCGCTGGAGAGACTGAGGCAGGAGGGTCCCCGTAAATTCGAGGCTAGTGTGGACCCTAACTCGACAACAACAACAAAAAACAAGCACTAGTAAGTTTGTTACATGGTCACGTGATTAGTGTTTTATGGAAAATAACTACATTTTTTTTAAAAAGCTAATTTAGCGAGGATTGGCAGTGTTTTACATTTTTGCAAATCTCTTTAGTATCTGGCTTAATAGAAGACTGCGGGATTCTCATTTCTGTTGCTGCATTGAGTCTTTCTCTGCATCACACCTTATGCGCCTAGGAAGAACTTTACACTGGAGAAAGAATAAGAGTGGAAAGGTTTCACGTAACAGTGTTACTATGAAAAATATTTTTATTTCCTCAATCCCTTAAAAGTGTCTCAAAGGACCCCCCCCACGGCGATCCCATACCACACTGGAGAACCACCGTTCTTAAGGAAAATCAAAGGAAGTTGAAATTTTTAAGACAAATGCATCTAGACAAACCGCCTGTACACGTACACGCCCTCAAAAAATTGAAAGAGAGGGCCGGGGATTTAGCTCAGTGGTTCTGGTGCCTGCCTCACAAGCACAAGGGCCGGAGTTCAATCCCCAGTCCCCAAAAAAAAAAAAAAAAAATTGAAAGAAGTTTTAAGAATATCTTGTGGTTGACTTGTGGATGTGATAACACTTTGACGTCTGTTAAAATCAGGGATCTACAGAGGGAGAGTAGGACTGTAGGTGTCACATTCCTTAGACTTGTGGCGCCCCCAGCTGGATCGTGGCAAGGTGTGGGGACAGTTTTCAGTGTGAAGAACGGCACATACCTCATACTACCATGTATTGTGCCTGATTTCCTCCTTTTGTTTTTTACAACTTAGGCGAAGAGGAAAAATTTTTTTTTTTTTTTTTTTTTTTTTTTGCCTTCAATAAGGGTAAAGAAAGAAAACCGTAAACTAAGAATAGGCTTGAGCCGGGCGTGGTGGTGGCACACCTGTAATTCCAGCACTTGGGAGGCTGAGGCAGGAGGATCACTGTAAGTTGGAGACCAGCCTGGGCTACACAGTGAGTTCCAGGTCAGTCTCAACTGCGTAGTGAGACCCTGTCTCAAAAACAAAGAATAGGCTTGAAACATTTTGGTGACCAGCAGTTATTTTAATTAAGCTTCCCTTGTGCTAACATGTTACTTCCATCTTCATTGTATCTTTAAGGATTCTATTGTACTTTCACTCTCTCAGGTTGAGATGGGCCGAGCACAAGACTTCTCACAACTGCGCCCCTCCGTCCTTCCCTTTTAAGTCTCAGGGGAGCTTAAAGGAAAAGCAGGTTGATAACAATCTACCTATGTGGCATATACAGTAGTACCATTTACCTTTCCCCAAACAAGAAAATTTTGTCCCACCAGGGGGCGCTCAGGAGATGGGATTGGATTGCTGCCACAGGTGGCGCGATCCTCCAAGGTGTAAATTCCAGTGTGGGCTATATTTTAGTTAATCGACAGTCTGTTTAGCCAAGCCAAGCCGTACATATGCTTGAAAAGATGTATGAAAGCTTCAAAAGAAGTGTGTTTATTCCTGTTCTTAATAAACCAAGTTGTAAAGATGTGTGATAGTTTTAATTGCTTACAAAATTAAAAGGCAGGGCTGGGGATTTAGCTCAGCGGTTCAGTGGCCTGCCTTGCAAGTGCAAGGACCCGAGTTCAATCCCCGGTACCAAAAAAAAAAAAGTTAAAAAGCAAAGTAGCCAGATGTGGTGGATGCAACCTCAGCACTCTGGGAGACAGAGGCAGGAGGATCACAAATCAGAGCCCAGCCTGAGAAACTCAGTGACTTAGTAAGACCCTGTCTCAAAATTAAAAAATAAATAAACTAGAAAAACTCAATGAGAAAGTCCTGGATTCAATCCTTAGGACCAGAAAGAAAACAAAACGAAACAAACAAAAAACGTTGGGCAAAGCACATATTATGTTGAAGTACAACTAATCTAGTTAAAAAGTCACATCCTTTTAGTTACCCCAATGTCTTCATTTGAAAGAATGAGATAGAGGCCAGGTATGGTGGCGCACGCCTGTAATCCCAGCACTTGGGAGGCTGAGGCAGGAGGATCGCTGTGAGTTTGAGACCAGCCTGAGCTACATAGTGAGTTCCAGGTCAGTCTCACTACATAGTGAGATCCTGTCTCAAAAAACCAAAAAAAAAAGAATGAGATAGTCTTTTTTTTTTTTGGCACTGGGGAATGAACTCAGGACCTTGTGCTTGCGAGGCAGGCGGCAGAACCACTGAGCTAAATCCCTGGTCCAAATGAGATAGCCTTTATTTGAGGCATTGTGCGTCTTTGGATTTTCAATGGAAACTATGAGTGGTTTTGGAATTGGCTAATTCTGACCCGTGTCCTCTTCCCCTCTCTTTTCAAGGGCTTGAGGAATCTGTGCATACCCAGCTCTAAGAGCAGTGCAACCAAGAGCAGTGGATTTCTTCTGTAAGTATCCACGTGGCTGTACTGAAGTGAACCTCAGATGGGCACTTATGCTGTTTTGCTCAGATTTCTTCTCTTCCTGCACACAGCAGTACCAGCAAGAAGTGGGTCCAGTTTTCAAGCCTACACATCAGTGTTCCAAAGGATTTGGCCAAACCTACGGTATGTGGTCCTTATTTCTTGGCGGAAATGAAATAACTTTTCATTATTATTTCGTGTGGGCTTGTTTCCCAGCACATAAAGATAAGAACATTTTTCTGGGAAGCTGACAAATGCACACCGTGCATTTTTTCCAGTGTCCTGTGTGCTCGGGTGTTGTCCTTTGGGACATCCAGCTGAGTCCTAAAGGACAAATTACCCCAAGTGCTGTATAATAACCAGTCTCCTACGTTTAGCTCAGCATAACCGAGAAGTTGTAATAAATATTGATGTAGAGTGCTTGATGTTATATTCTGGAAAAATATTTTTCTAGTAGCCTTCATGTCTCTATTTTCATTTTAAGTGTTGAGCCTGGGCCTGGACATTGCTTCGTTGTCACAGTGAGAAAGGGCATTAACACGGATACTGAGAGTCCAGGGTGGCTGTATAACCACCTTACAAAAGCCCCGATTCCCTCATCCTGAATCCTGCTTCCACCCTTCAGAAATAACCCCTTTTCACTGTTGTACGAATCCATCTAGACCTTTGTCTGTTGTGTGCACAATGAAATGGAACAGTGTTATACACGGTACACACTGCTGCTTTTTCTTTCTTTCTTAGTAGATCTGGGTGTGTTTCCATGAGGTATATATAAACCCTAGCCTCCGCGTCAGATGTCTGCAAGGGCCATCCCTGAGAAGAGGTGGCAGACAGGCACAGTGACCCCTGCCCCTTGACTGTCTACAGTAGCCAATCATGGACCTGGAGAATCCTATAAGAGTACTCAGAACATAACTCAGTGGTAGAGCTCTTGTTTTGCATGTGTAAAGCTGGGTTTTGTCCCTAGCACTGAGAAATTAAAAGAAGCCAATGCCGGGGATTTAGCTCAGTGGTTCTGCTGCCTGCCTCGAAAGCACAAGAACCCGAGTTCAATCCCCAGTACCAAAATAATAATAATAATAATAATAATAATAAGCCAGGCATGGTCATGTACACCTGTATTCCCAGCACCAGGAGACTGAGGCAGGAGGATCACTGCAAGTTTAGGGCAGCCTGGGCTACATAGTTCAAAGCCAGCCTAAACTATGTAACAGGATTGTCTAAAAAAACAAATAAAGGGCTACGAATTTAGCTCAGTGGTTCCACCGCCTGCCTCGCAAGCACAAGGTCCTGTGTTCGATCCCCGGTACCAAAAAATTAATTAATTAATTAAAATTTTATGATAGAATCCTACTGGGATCAGTCAGAACATATCTCCAGGTTCTTCTTCCCTTGTCCAACCCAACTTTTGGTGTAGACTATTAGTACTTTCTGTTTTCCCAACAACCATACTTAGAGTCATTGAGAGTAGATGCCCAGCTTCCTGGTGAGTAGATCTCTTTTCAGGGCAAAATAATTTAACCCTGAATCATTGGATTAGTAATATAATTTGTGACTGTAATGAGGGAATGAAATGAAGGTAATTCACCTCTTGGATGAAAGTCAGAAATGTCAAACCTATTATTTCCAAGTCTTTAGATACGAGGGTGGAAGAGGCGGAAGTTACGAGTACAGTCAGTGTCATAACATTTTATTAGACATGAGTCATTTGTGTATTAAGGCTGCAAAGCACACAGATAAAACCTAACAAAAAGATGCCATACTTTGTCTAACAGTGTGTAACAGTTTATAGGTACTTTAATGTTGTGTTTGCACATTTTTTCCTTACAGACATCCTGGAGCCCATAGTGCAGGCAGTGTTACCCTCCTCTGTATGCAAGGGCCGTGGGGGCAGCGAGCGTCTGTGGCCTGCCCGTTGTCCTCCAGCCAGGAATGGAGAGTGCAGTTCGCATTCAGGTCTTCTGACCAGGCTGCCCCTGAAGTCCTGCATTGTCAGTCTGGGGTCAACAGTTATTAAGTTGAGAGGTTCCACTGACGACTTTGTAAGTTGCCTTGAAAGTCTGTTGGCTCCACAATGGATTTTCAGAGATTTCGAGGGTCATTTTGCACCTCCATGTGTGATAGGATGTAGGTAACGAGGCCAACAGGGCTGAGGTCCTACTCAGAATTTTGCTCTGCATTTATTAATAAATTCTGAAATTCGTCAGTTATGGTTAACATGCTAAATTTCCTAGTTATAAATATTAAATCACAACTGGAACTTTTCTTTTTGATTTTAGATAACTGTTTCTGACAAACCAGACACATTATACAAACGCCTGTCAATTTTAGTAAAAGCCCATGATAAGGCTGTACTGGACAGTTACGAATACTTTGCCGTGCTTGCTGCTAAAGAACTCGGTATATCTATTAAAGTGTAAGTCTCGCTTCCCCTGACCTGGGAAACTGCTGTGATGTGATCAGCCAGGGAACTGGCGCCCATCCCGGCTAGGTCTGAGCTGGTAAAATGGAGTGGAAGTCATGACGGCCGGGCCGCGTTGCGTGGTGCATTACTCTGTGAAGGGTCGGCCCTGCCTGCCTTCGGATTGATAAACACTGGAAGAGCGAGTACGGAAGATGAGAGGAGTCCTCTCGGGGAACCCCTTTGCCCTGACTCTTAGAGAAACCCAAGCATCTGGGTCTCCTTGAGGCAGGGCGGCTGCAGGGGTACAGACACCCCAGAACCTCCCTGGCTGTGGTACTCTTTGGCCAATACGTCCGATGTTTTCCAAAATAGACCGTAGTTTTGCGATTGTTGATCTGGAAGTTTTCCTGACAGCACAGACGTAACAGACATTACAGCTGTGTACCGTGTGCTGTCGCTGATCTTCATACTTCATGTATTTGGGCAGTAAGGAGCTCAGAGGTGTAAAAGTGGCGAGTGTGTGTGTGCGGCCTTATATGCCAGTGCTTGTTTTGGGGTCTGGGAGGTTCCTGTCTCTGTCTTGCTGTTTATTTTGGCCTGAGCTGCGTGATAGCAGTTGTTGTTACAGATGACAGTCTTGACTCATGGAAGTCATTAAATTAATGACTGTAATTTGTGAGCCTGGCCTACCAAACTGTCGAATTGTTCTTTGATGTCAGTGACTCAGGCCTTAACAGCAGGCAGATTAAATTTCTTGTTTGTCCATTGGTTTCAGACACGAGCCACCAAGGAAAATCGAGCGATTTACCCTTCTCAAATCTGTGCATATTTTCAAGAAGCATAGAGTACAGTATGAAATGAGAACACTCTATAGATGTTTGGAGGTGGGTTTGTGACAGCTGTTTGGGCGCTTTTGAAGCACTCAAGTTCCACAATAGCACACATCATGACTTTGTTTTAAGATTAACCCCATTGACTTCCTGCCAGCAGCTCATGCATGTCTTTTGGTGTTTATGGGAGCTGCATGATAGGAAAGCAAACTAAATACAATCTTTAGAGTGTGTGGACTTCTAGAAATACAAAACAAATCAGTTAAATGTTTTGCAGTTCTAGGTTTTCCGTTGTCATGTGCCATCATTCATTCATGTATCCATGAGGTCAAGCATAACGGGACTTGGATTAACTGAGGTATTCATGTAAAGTACAACTGTGCCACCACTCCTGGCAACCTACCTTTTTTTTTCTTGACATAGGGTCTTGCTATGTAGTTCAGGCTGACAGCGAATTCACTGTGTAGCCCACGCTGGCCTCGAACTCCAGTGATCCTCCTGCCTCAGCCTTCTGAGTGCTGGGATTACAGGCGTGCGCCACCATGCTGGGCTCTGGCAACCTACTTTTAAAAACTTTCTAAAATAAATTTTATTTTATTTTATCCCTTTCACCCCAAGCCCTCCCCCCATGTACAAAAGCTTTTTTTCCATTTTTCCCTTCTATTTTCACTTTTTTTTCTTTCTTCCTTTCTTTCTCCCTCCCTCCTCCCTTGTTCCCTTTCCCATTTGAACACTTTCTTCCCATTTCCCAACGTCCACTCTACATCTCAGTCCTTATTTCCACTTTCAGTTAATAATACCAGAGAAACAATGCACTATTTAAACGTGTGTCCGATTTATTTCACTTAAAAATATAGTCTCAAGTTGCATCCATTTAGCTATAAATGTCTAAAGTGCCTCCTTCTTTATGGCTGAGAAGTACTCCATTGTATTGAAAAAAACTACATCTTCATCCATTCATCAGTTAACGGGCATTTAGGCTGTTTCTAAGCTTTAGCTATTATGAACTGTGCTGCTATAAACATGGCTGTGCATACATCGCCATGGACTGATACTTTTAATTCTTTGGGGGGTACCAAGGATCGAACTTGGGTCCTTGCACTTTTGAGGCAGGCAGCAGAACCACTGAGCTAAATCCCCGGCCCAATGCTTTTATTTCTTTCAGGAAGTTACCAAGAAGAAGTATGGCTGGGTCAAATGGAACCTCTAGTTTTAGTTCTTTGAGAAATCTCCACACTGATCTCCACAGTGGTCTGGCACCCTACTTTTAAAGGAAAAAGAAAAACCCCAAAATTTCATTCACCCATGTCTGTCAGTCATCTTGCCATGAAGCATACCAAAAACCTTAAACTAATTTTGACCTTAAAATCTAGCCTCCTTGGGCTGGGGATTTAGCTCAGTGGTTCTGCTGCCTGCCTTGTAAGTGCAATGACCTGAGTTTGCTCCCTGGTTCCAAAAGAAAAAAAAAAATCTAGCCTCTTATTTCCTCTTGTCCTGGGTCACTTTGTGAAACTTCCACATCCTGCTGCAGTACTGCTGTACCTGCTGCCTGTGTCACACCAGCATGGAGCTCGGGTGGCAGCATCTGGGAAGGAGCACTGAGGTCACGTTCTCATCTGGTCCAGCCAGTGGCCCTGGTCATGTTCAGACTGTGTGTGAGATTTCTTAGGGGGGAAACAGGCTCCATCGCTCTACCAAGGAAAACCTTAAAGATTTCTGCTGTAAGCCAGGCACAGTGGTTCTTGCCTATAATCTCAGCTGCTTTGCAGGCTGAGTTGGGAGGGTTCTAAATTCAAGGGTACCCTGTGCAATTTAATGAAATCCTGTCTCAGAGTCAGATGATAAGGGCTGGGGTGTGGCTTGGCGGTAGAATGGCGGTAGAATGCTTGCCTGACATGTAGGAGGGCCTGGGTTCAATCCCAGTACCAGACAAAAATAGAGATTCCTTAACACGCATAATGTGACCCAGTTTCCTGTCTGGGCTTTCAGTTAGAACACCTCACTGGATGCACGGCAGATGTCTACTTGGAATACATTCAGCGAAACTTACCCGAAGGGGTTGCCATGGAAGTAACCAAGGTATGACTTGAGTCTCACCTCCCAGGGGTCCACACGGTCCTCACGTGTTTGTTGCAGCCCCATCCTGGGCCCTGTGACAGGAGTACCCAGAGCTGCCCAGGAGTGGAGTTGTCACCATGGGCTGTCCCTTCCTCCTGTCTGTAAAAAGTGAAGAGGAGTTGACAAGTGACTGAGTCCAGTTCACAGTCAGAGCTTGTGTAAGTCTGCTGTATTATAGTTTTGTTTCTTTTTTTTTTAGACGCAATTAAAACAATTACCAGAACACATCAAGGAGCCAATCTGGGACACAGTAGCCAAGGAGAGAGAAGCGAGCAAGTCCTAAGGCTCCAGCCACCTGGATCCTGCAGGAAGAGGTGAGCAGGCAGAGACTGTGTTTGCACAGGACAGGATCCAAGTGCGCCCCGCTCCCCCTTGGAGTCTGCTGGCCCTGATCAGCTTCGAGCGGAACATGAGCTTTTGTGACAGATGGAACTGTAGCAAGAGGACCATGCTGTCTGTCTCTGTCTATCGTGTCATCGTTTCTGTTGTGATTTTGAACAAACAAGAGTAAACCGTTTAGTACTCAAGCCAAAAGAGTTGAATTTATATTCTGTCCCAGTGTTGTTCAATTATTAGTGTGTAGTGATTTGATTTTTATTAATTCATTCTTTAGAAAATAAGAGTGAAAAAAAAAAGAAAATAAGAGTTTGAAGTATTTTTCAGTCTATAATCCCAGCACTTGGGAGGCTGAGGCAGGAGGATTGCTGTGAGTTTGAGGCCAGCCTGGGCTACATAGTGAGCTCATGGATAGCCTGAACTGCTGAGTGAGACCTGACATTTTTTTCAGTTGCTAGAAGGAAAACGAGTGCTATAACCTGAGCAGCAATGGCTTTGCTCTTGACCTCAGTGCGGGTGGCGGGTGCAGCCCTAGTGAGGACCAGCCAGCCCCTGAGCTCAGCCTTCAGTGTCTGGGAAGTGAGCACACTGCGATAGAGGGCACGTGTTTGTGACACACGGAGCTCCTGTAGTCCCGACCGTCGCGGGACTGCCTCTAGGGTCACTGCAATGGAATATCTACACTTACATGATCACTGCTGTCGGGTACAAAGGTCCACGCCTGTAATCCCAGCTACCCAGGAGGCTGAGGCAGGAGAATCACAAGTTCCAGGCCAGCCTGGGCACCCTAGTGAGACTCCATCTCAAAATTTAAACATTGAAAGGGCAGAAGATACAGCTTAGCACTCTCTGAGTTCAACCCCCAGTACAGAAAGAAAGAGTGGGGGATGGAGGAGGACAGGAAAGGAAGGCAGGCATTAGCATGGGCGTCATTTCCTTCATCCCCTGGCTGGTGCATTCACCGAGCTGTTACCTGCTGAGCTTTGCACTGAGCCCTGTGACTGAATAGACTCAGTGGCTTTTAAAGTTTGCGAGACACAGGTGTCTTCCCTCAGGTTCCTTGCTGATCAGAAGGCCTCTTCTGGTAGGCAGTTTGGCCTTGTTGGGAGGTGCGGTCTGCTTTTCCATGGGACTAAAGCCCTGCGAGGCAGCTGGTGGTGGGGCAGCTGCTGTGGCAGCCCCAGAGGAGCACGCATTTCTTTTCTGCAGCAGAATTGGGTCCAAGCCATCTGATTCCCACCTTCAAAGCCATCCTCAGGAGGCTGAGGTAGGAGGATCACGTGAAAGTGACAGTGTTTAGATGTGTGCGAGTCTGCTCTCCTCCAGGACGCTCATGAGCCCTGTCACATGCTGCTATTTCCAGCCGTTTCCAGACTAATTAACACTAATGAGGTCGCTTAGCCTAGCACTTCAAATTGTGTGTTAAAATCTTGTTTTAAATTAAATGCACAAACCACGCACAGCAAAAACTAGCGATGTTTCTTTGGCAAAAGAACTTGGCATTTTGAAATCTCTTTCTTGGTATAAATTGAGCTTTTCCTGAGAAGGGTTTTGGGTTTTTGTCTTAAGTCTCTGAGTAAAGTGCATATGGCAAGATTAGAATTGACATCCAGATGTCACTTCCTGTCCGCGGTGCTGATGGGAGGAGATGAGAGGCCTGGATGTGGTGGCAGAGTGAACAGAGGCAGGGAGGAAGTGGAGCTGTTTCTCACAAAGGTGTAGCTGCACTCAGACCGCTGTCTTGCGTGAGGCGTGGTTTCTTCCTGTTCACCAGAACCTTGTCTGGTCTAACTAAGGTTTCTGGTCTAACGGCAGATCTCTGCTAAGACCCTAGTTCCATGCCAAGTTTCAGTTCTTTCAAAGAGAATGACACGTTCTTTTGGCCATTTAACATGCAGCCTGAGAGCAGGGCCTGCCCAGGAGAGGCGGTGGGCTCGGCCTGCAAGGCCCTGGGGTGGGGCTGGCCGCTAGACTCGAGTTACACGATTCAGTCTTGCTTTGGTCCCACTCCAAAGGAGCTTCCTAGCTCCCTACTCCTCCTTGTTATAGCAAAGGTTGCCAAGCGTGGCGGCTCACCCTTAGAACCCCAGCACTTAGAAAGCTGAGGCGGAAGGGTCACTTCAAGTTCAAGGCCAGCCTGAACTATAAAGCAAGACCCTGTCTCAAAAATAAAATAAGGGCTGGGAATTTAGCTCAGTGGTGCTGCTGCTTGCCTCATAAGCACAAGGACCCGAGTTCGATCCCCAGCACCTAAATAAATTAAATAAAAGGTTCATTCCACGCCATTGGTATTAAAACTATTTAACTTTGATTTTTTTTTTTTAAGAGTGCTCTTTTTGTTTTGTTTTGTTTTTTGAGACAGGGTCTCACTATGTAGTTGAGACTGAACTGGAACTCACTGTGTAGCTCAAGCTGGTCTCGAACTCACAGCGATCCTCCTGCCTCAGCCTCCCGAGTGCTGGGATTACAGGCGTGCGCCACCACGCCTGGCCATCCCATTTCCTGTAACACTTAGAAGTGAAGAAATCAGAGGACATCTACGAGAGACATTAGAGCAAGAAGCAGAATGCGGTGTGGCCCTAGTGGCCCCCCTGGTCCCAGTCCTGAGTGATCAAGTGTTAGCACAATGGCGTGGGCTTCAGCAGGGCACGTCCTGCCTGGCATGGCGGTGGTGAGCAGTGAGACTCGAGACTCTACCCCTGCAGCCAGGCCCAGGGCTGACCACCTGTAACCCTAGGGCTCCCTGCAAATCCCCGGCTTAGTTCCTAACCCTACCTTCCTTAAGTCTTTACTATTGTTACTCACTTCAAGCTGCTATTGCTCTCTCTATGGATTCTTAATCCTCCTTAAGACGATATATTTATATCTGAAGAGCTCAGCGATATTTATAGGGCAGGTCGTGGGCAACTGACCTGCTGGAAAAGCCAAGGTTTGGCTTCCTCAGCCAGATGCTAAACCAAGTTCTGTTTCATCCATAGAATTTCTTGAGCACAATACTGTCCTTTAATTCTCCTTAATGTTGCTGAAATAATAATAATGTAGGACAGGCCAGGGACAGCAGCACCCTCCTGCCGAGCACCTGAGATGCTGGGCGTAGACAGCCATGGCCACTCCTGAGCAGCACAGTTTGGGAGTTTCCAGACGGAGAAAGGCTGAAACACCCTCGGGCTGGGTGATGGCCAGGGTGTCTTCTGGGCCTGAAATCACACTGCTGTCTCACTGCAACAAACACCTGCTCATTTGGGCACCAGAAGGAGTCAGGAGGAGCTGTGTTATGAAGTCAAGGAGTGGTGTCCCCGTCACTCAGCACTGACCGGGTGCTGCTTTGCCCAGTCACCCAACAAGTGTTCATGCCAAGCCCTGAGGTCACCACGGGGTTCTGTAGTGGACGTGGTAAAGTCCCTGTCCTTATAGACTGTAGGCAAGTGTGAAAGAATAAATAGGGGGAAATAAGGTAGCTTCAGATGCAGGGAAGTATTATGAAGAAAATAAAACTGGACAACATTAGTGTCCGCTTTGGCAGCGGAGAACACCAGGAAGAAAGCAACCAGAGAAGATAGGCACGACGGGCAATCCAAGCAGGAGGAGCCGTCGGTGCCAGGACCCTGAGAACAAGCGCAGTGTCCACGGAGGCGACCCGGAGGCCATGAAACCAGAAGTGGGCGGGGCTGGATCACGTCGTGCACGGTGGGCACGGGAGGTCAGGTGAATAACGTTCTCAACGTAGACAGGAAACCATAGAAGGGTCCGAGCAAGATCTGATTTAGGAACGTGCTGCTCCGGCTGCTGGCTCAGAGTGACGTAGGGCCCTGCTGAGAGGACCGTGGGCCGGTGCCGGCAGGGCTGGAATCGCAGCCGTGGCGTGGTGAGGCGCGGCTGGGCTCAGTGGAGCGTGCGGGACACTGACGGAATGACGTGCTCATAGGTGGAGGGAAGGAGAGACGTCGAGGATGCCCCCTATCCTGGAGCCCGAGCGGTCACAGAAATCGTGATGCGTTACCGAGGTGGGGCAGGGCTCCGGAGGACCTCGGGAATGAGCTAATTAGGGTTCAGCCTTGCTGCGTCTGCGGCCGGAGCACAGGTGTCCAGGGTGCCGGGCAGCTGGACAGGCTGGAGGTGGCACTGCGGAGCTCTCGGCCTGTAAGTGGCCTGCATGGCCCTGACCGTGAATGCGAATCAGAGGCGAAGTGAAGTACCCGGGAAGACGGGACCAGGGGGCCCCACGCTCTCGGGGACTGAGGGAATGGAGGAGCTGGTAGAGGACAGGCGTGCTGTGCAGCCGGGCTGGATACGGAGTCTGGGGCCTCGGGCCCCGAGTATAAGGAGAGGAGGCCTAAAACAGTGACAATGTTCACTCTGCTCACAGATCTGCAGGACCCGAGGGGACAGTGCCCGCTCCACCTGGTGTCAGCCAAGGTGTCTCCACGTCCCTCTAGGCCTAGTGACTACGTTCCCCAGGAAGGTCCTGACACAGGCAGGCAGAAGCCTATCCTAGGGTCTTGACAATGAACTACATTCCCAGCCCATTTTAAATTTTTTTATTTTGAGACAGGGTCTCACTAAACCATTAACTTGGCCAGGGCTCAAATTTTTGACCGTCCTGCCTCAGCCTCCCGAGTGTTGGGGTTACAGGAGTGCGCCACCGTGCACACTTGTTCTGATCTAATACAGGTGACGTGAAAGCTGCCCGGAATGCTGGTAGGAATGCCCTGTTGGGGAGGGGTAAATGCAGGCTGCCTACCTGGGACACACGGCAGAGAGGAGTGACGCCTTTGGGGAGACGCGTGTGCTTGAAACTGGAAAACAAAAAGCTAAGACTCGGGCTGGGAATTTAGCTGAGCGGTGCCAGCGCCTGCCTCGCAAGCGAAAAGATCCAAGTTGGATCCCCAGTACCAAAAAAAAAAAAGACTCAAGGGAGCTTCTGATACTGAGCTGGGGCCCTAACTGCCCCCGGATCTGCTCCCGGCTCCTCTCTAATGTCAGTCTCTGTGTTCCCAGAATGGGCCTCTCGAGCTGTCCAGTGCCCCCCACAGGGCCGGGCAAGCGTGCCATGGGTGGTCCCGCAGTCATCCCTGTTCCTCACTCTACTCTCCGTCTCTTACTCCTTTTCTTCTTTGCAGTCCCAGTGGTGGTGACTGGTGGGCCTCAGGGGAGAGCCTGACCTCTCAGAAGATTCCTGGCAAGGGAAACTCTTAATGGCCTTAGGGCAGCTTAGCTTAAGGGGGCACCCCCTCCCCTCCTGCTCATTGCCCATGGCATTCAGTCGCCAGGGGACCAAGGTGAAGAGGCCAGACCAGCAGAGATAGAGAGAGAGAGCCCCGGTCTGAAGAACCAGGGAGCAGAGGTCCCCAGGAGACGTGGCCTCTGACCCCCCACATCCCCGAGCCAAGATGGGGCAGCAGTTCAGCTGGGAGGAGCTGGAGTCTGGCGAGATGGATGTGGCCGAGCTCCAGGAGTGGTACAAGAGGTTCGTGGTGGAGTGTCCCAGTGGCACGCTTTTCTTGCATGAGTTCAAGCGCCTCTTCAAGGTCACGGGCGATGAGGGTGCCAGCCGGTTCGTGGAGAACATGTTCCGGGCCTTCGACAAGAACGGGGTAAGGCTCGCTGCAGGGAGCTGTGCCAGGCCACCTGGTGCCCGTCCCGTCCCTGCACCGCTCTTTCCCAAACTCCTCCTGCACCATTGTGCTGTCCTCGCTCTCTGCCGCCTCTTCCCTGGCTTCTCTGTGGGGTCGGAAACCCAAAGGCCTGGCCCTCCTACCCACCAGGCAGTCAGCAAAGTGGGATGAGCCCCCGTCCCTGGCCCCTCGCTGGGGCCTTCCGTGGAGACAGGGCAGGTCTTCTGTCACGGGTGTGGAGGAGCGGTGCGGAGGGACTGCTGGAAGTGTGCTTTTCCACTCCGGATTCACAAAGTCGGGCCTACCTCAGGGTTTCCTTCCAATGGCACCCACAGCTGAGATACTAACTTCTAGGGGAATGTGTGAATTCAGCTCAGCAAACCCTTTCATTATTCCAGTTTATCCAGGCCCCTGCAGCCCTTTAGGTTTGTCTCCAATTCCTGTTTCAGCATGAGGAGGTGGGTTGGACCCCAGGGTTAACCTGGAAAACCTGGAATGCCATTCCGGTCCGCTGCTGGCCCACTCAGGAAGGGAGGGCAGCCAGTGACTTCCGTGCCACAGAACCGCTTATGGGGACGGACCTTGTCTGCCACCCCAGGGCAAAAGAAAGGAGATTGATTTGCCCAAGGCCACATCCTCAGGTGCTCCTACTTTACCCTTACCTTAGAAGGTGAGGGAGAGGCCAGTTAAGATAAAAAAAGATTTTTTTGGTGGCTCTTTTGCTTATTTTTTGAAATAGGGTCATGCTAGGAGCATATTGCTGGCCTCAAACTCACAGCAGTCTTCCTGCCTCAGCCTCCCAAATGCTGGGATTACGGAGCTACCACGCCCGGCTCCCAACTTGGATATTTTTCTAATGTCACCACCCTCTCTGACCATTAGCTGGCATCCGCAGTCAGGAAGAGCTTCTGGAAGGCATTCCCTTCCTCTTCCGGCCCCTGAGCCTTCTCTTTCCCACTTAGTCTCTGTCTCCAAATCCACACTCGCTCCATTCCTCACTGGGGTGCGGTCTTTGTGTCAGGGAGTTTCATTTCTGGACAAGTCCATAGGTGTAGCCAGGTAGTGCATACCTGCAATCTCAGGAGGCTGAGTCAGGAGGATCGCTGCAAGGCTAGCCTGGGCTGCATAGGAAGTTCAAGGTCACTATATAGTGAGACCTTGTCAAAATAAAGAAAGAGCTGGGGATGTAGCACAGTGGCACAGCACCTCCCTGGCAGGTCCAACATCCTGAGTTCAATCCCTGGTAACAAAAAAAAAAAAAAAAAAAAAAAGGAGAAGGGCGGGACCTTGAGGCGGGAGCAGAAGTCTCCAGCTCAACCTGGGGGAACCCTGTAGTTTACAGGCTCTGTGCGCAGCTGGGCAGTGGGGCACCTGTGTCCAGTGCTCAGCTGAGCTCACCCCACACAGGACAACACCATCGACTTCCTGGAGTATGTGGCGGCCCTGAACCTCCTGCTGCAGGACTCGCTGGAGCACAAGCTCCGGTGGACCTTCAAGATCTATGACAAGGACCGCAATGGCTGCATCGACCGCCTGGAGCTGCTGGACATCGTGGAGGTGCGGGGCCTGGGTGGGGAGGGTGTCAGGACCACCTTAGGGCGGCTGGTGTGGACTTGGACCTGGCGCGTGTCTCTGGGTAGGGGCGGTCCTGGCTGGGTCAGAACGGCTGCATTCTCCCCTCTCAGTCGATTTACAAGCTAAAGAAAGCCTGCCGAGTGGAGACAGCCAAGGACAAGGACTGGGAGCCGCTCACGCCCGAGGAGGTGGTGGACAGGATTTTCCTCCTGGTGGACCGGAACGGGGACGGTGAGAGGCCAGGCGGGGGCAGGCTGTCCGCTCCACTCCTCCCCAGGGCCTGTGCACAAGGCCCCACTTCCCGCCACCAAACCCCTCACTGTGAGCTAGCGGAGGGGAGGATGGCACGAAATAGCAAAGGGCACCGTGGGCATTGTCACCGTCAATCCTGGGCTACGGACGGGGTGGGGCAGGCTGTGCAGAGAAAACCGGGACTGTTGGCCTCAGCCTGGTCTCCTTGAGGGTGAGGCACGGATGATGACAGTGGCCCGGAGGGCTGTCAGGGTTGTGTGGAAGAGCCAGGCAGGTGTTCAGTGTGGCAGCCCACATCTCAGACGGCTGAGGCAGGGATCACACAGGCCAGCCTGGGCAATTTAGCAAGACCCTGTCTCAAAATTTAGAAAATAAACCAGGTGTGCTGGTGAACACCTATAATCCTAGCACTAAGGGAGGCTGAGGCAGGAGGGTCTTGTCTCAAAAAAATTTTTTTTTCTTTTGGCACCAGGCATCGAAATTGGCTCCTTGTGCTTGCGAGGCAGGTGGCAGCGCAGCTGAGCTAAATCCTCGCCCCCCCAAAAAACTTTTTAATAAAAAAGGGCTGGGAATGTAACTCAGTTCAAAGGCCCTAGGTTCGAGCCCCAGCACAAAAAAGAAGGAGGGGTGGAGGAGGAGGAAGGAGACAGGCAGGGGAGAGCTCCTCAAGCCTTCTTGGGAGTCTCAGCATCTCAGTGGTGCTGTGGGCCAATTCATCTGCGAGGAAAGCCCCAGGGAGCTTAGCCGAGTCTGCAGGGGTAGGAGGTGCAGGTGCGTCCGCGGAGAGGAGGTCTCTGTGCCCGTCCTGCTCCTGCCGCCGGCCTTCCCTGCTCCGGTGACCATCCGCCCCTCCCAGGCCAGCTTTCCCTGGAAGAGTTCATCGGAGGCGCCCGGCGCGACCAGTGGGTGATGAAGATGCTGCAGATGGACGTGAACCCCGGCGGCTGGATCAGCCAGCAGAGGCGGAGAAGCGCCATGTTCTGAAGCCCACGCGCCAGGAGCCCCCGGCCCCTCCTGCTCCCCGCTCATCGGGGACTTCAGGGGAGCAGGAGGGGCGGTGCCGCTGTTTCCCTGGCCCGGATCCCAGGGCGGGGGGCAGGGGTGAAAGGAACGGGACTCCCGGCCCGAGGAGGCGACGGGGCTCAGCCCTTGTGCAGGGTAGTGGGGTCCGAAGGGGGCTCGGCTGCTCGGCCCCTCAGAGCACTGCGCCTCGCTGGAGGATGTGGGGTGCTGCAGGTGTCTAGAAATCCCAGGTGGCGGAGGGAGTCCCCCAGCGGGGTCACCGAGGCCAGCACCGGCGTTGCGGTGTAGGGAAGCGGAGGTGCCGGAAGCCGGAGGTGCTGAGGCTGTGCTAGAGGGGCTGTGTCCGCTCCGCTCCTCCCCGAGGCTCCCCCACCTGCCTGCCCCCCACTTCAGCGTGGGCCTTCACCGCCCTGAAGGACGGAGGAAGCTTCTCTCTGTCTCTGGGGTCTGCCCACCTGGGGTCACGCCGGGCTTTGCCTCGGTGGCTGTGGGACCCCCTGTGACTGCTTTTCCCTGACCTTGTGCAGGTTGGACTAGGTGACCATGCTGCTTTTAGGTGTGAAGTTTTTGTGGTTGTTATGCAGACTCCTCTGTCAACCCCAATATAGAAAGGAGGTTAAAAGAGAGCCCCTCCCGTGGAAGAGGGCTGAGAGGCTCAGGCCCTCCCACAGACAGGAAGTGGAAAACCGCACCCCAGAGCCGGGTTACCCCAAGAGACGATTTCCTGTGGGACCCCAAATAGCATTTGTTTTATCTTCAGTAGATACATTATTTATATTGATGCATAAAATATAAAACTCATGTATTGAACCCAAGGCTTCATAGGTATGATTTTTTTCATATGATGCTCACTTAGAAATCAATGTTAGGTTGAAAATGGTTGCTTAAAAATATTAATTCTACCCCAGGTGGGACAGAAATATGCCCCACACCATGCAGGGGGCCTGTGGATGAGGCTGGGGACTGCGGTCCCGACGACAGGCGGACACCCTCCAACTCTGGCACCCAGTACTTCCCAGGCAGTCCAGCTCCTGTCCCCCTGGCTGGACTCCCTGTCCTGCGCGGTCCAAGCGATGGGCAGGACAGCAGTGACAGAAATGCACCCTCTTGTCCCCCATCTCAGAAGGCGCCCCCTGACCTACAGGCTACTCCCTCGCCCCTGTTTCCTCTCCCTCATCTGGGCTTTTATTGACTCCTTGCCTTCCCCCAGCCCAGCTGAAGGGGCATGAAGCCCAGAAGAAAGGGCATCTTTGAAAACAGGTCCCAGCTGCTCCAGCCTGTGTCACCCAGGAGCTGTAATTGGGTGGAGCTGATAAACCTGGCCATGGCTGCCTTTGCTGAGGGGTCCAGGGAGCCAGGACAGCACCCACCTGCTGTCCAGATCCCAGGTGCCCCGTGTCACCGTGGCACGAGATTTAGATCAGGGCGGGGGCAGCCGGCTCATCTGGAATGAGCAATGGGCCGCAGATCCACAGGGAGGGGAAACCGTGTGATATTGCCGGCCACCAAGTGAGGACAGAGTAAGGAACACGGGCACCTTGGGGAACAGGGAGGGCTTTCTGCCTGCTTTAGTTTAAGGACCAATGCCAGAGCGTCTGAATGTGTACACGTGTGTACACACACAAACACATGTACATTGCTCTCCAGTCTCAGCTCAGGGCCATACTGTCCCCCAGACATCCTGTCCTTGTCTCCCTGGTAGGTTCACACATTTCTCGAAGGAGATGTTTTTCCTACTGGGCCCCAGGAGGAGCTCCCTAAAAATGAACATGATGACTCCTATTGTTTCAAAATTGGTAAAAATGAAAAAAAAATTTTTTTTGAGACTGGGTCTCCCTATGTAGTTCAGGCTGGCCTTGAACTCACTATGTAGTCCAGGATGGTTTTGAACTCATATAGAGATCCTCCTGCCTCAGCCTTCCAAGTGCTGGGATTACAGGCATGTGTGTGCTACACCATGTTTGGCTTAGTAAAACTGAAATCCAAAGGGATTCCTCCAACTTACACCGAGGGCCTCTCCTGCCTCATCACACAGCCCCTGTGCAAAGCACACATCACAGAGAATGTCCCCATTGTCATCTTTGCATACAACCTCCAACCTGTTTCAAGGTCAAAGGTCATGGCTGTGCTGCTGCCTGCAGAGGACCCGTGCAGGAGCCCTAACTTCCCAACTCCTCTCCGTGTATTCTATCAGAAGGGCACTTGCCCACGTGCTTCCCACTGGGCTCTGAGTGCTTCGAGCACTAGAACTGTCTTCTTTGTCTTCTGCACTGTACACAGCAGGTGCTCGATAAATGCCTGTTGCTGGGAGGATAAATCAATGCAACCCCACAGGGAGGCCCCAGGTCCAGGGCAAGCTGCTGTCCCACAATTAAGGCTGTGGCTGCAGCTCTGCAGGACTCGCCAGAGACCCAGGAAAGCCAAGTTTGAGAAGGGACCGGGATGGGGCACCCTGGAGGGCCAGGAATCCATCCTCCTCCACCCACCCTGGACGCCGGCTCCAGCCCCTCTGCTGCCCCTATGCAAAGAGGTGAGCTGAGCCAGAGAGCAGGTAGGTCCTGTGTAATATTAGTATGACAGCCACAGTGACACCACCCCGCCTGGGCCTCCTCCCACCCCATACAGGAGCCAGGCTCAGCCCACTGCCCCCGACGAGTCTCCTGCCGCCTCCTCCTGCTCGCCTTTCTGCAGCCTTCGCACGATGCCGGTGAGGTCCAGGCTGCGGGTCAGCGTGTCCAGCAGCATCTGGTCCTTCTGGACGCCCTCCAGGAACTCCTCCAGCGAGAGTTCCCCTGGGGCAGAGAGGGGCCGCGGGCCGGGGTCACACCTGCCGCCCAGGGCCGAGATGGGTGAAGGGGGCAGGGGTCCCCAAAGTCCAGTCCTGTGACTGGGGCAGAGTTGGACGGGCGGTGACCAGCAGAGGGTCCTTTGTGCCCACCGTGACCTCCCAGGCCTGCTGACCCCCGCTCCGTGCCCCCACCGTGTCCCTCCGCCCTCACCGTCCCCGTTGATGTCGATCTTGGCGAACACGGTGTCCGTGAACTCCTCCGCGCTCATGGCCGAGTCACTCCAGGGGTTGATGGTGCGGATGGCCTGAGACAGGGGAGCTGAGTGAGGGACGCAGTGGAGATGCTCGATCTCCTGGTACCAATGGTGAAACTGAGGCCCACGAGAAGAAAGCACGCCGCTGTTGAGGGCGGACACTGTCCCTGATGCCCCATTCCCGTCTCATCCCCAAGGAGGCCACACCCCGCGGGCCCTCTGCACCTGGAGTTACCCTGATGATCGTGAGCAGCTCATCCCGGTCGATGCAGCCGTTGCCGTCGACGTCGTAGAGCTTGAAGTACCAGCGTAGCTTCTGTTCCACCTTCCCCTTGAGGACCAGGCTGAGCGCCGCCACATACTCCATGAAATCAATGTAGCCGTCCTGGGGGCGTGGCCGAAGGTCTGACCACGCCCCCAAAGGCCACGCCCACAGCTCCCAGACACACCCACCCCGGTCCTGGCCTTCTCCATCCAGCCCCATACACCGTCCGCCAGGGCCACCCTCACTGGACAGACCACGCCCATCGCCGGCCACGCCCACTGGCCACACTAGCTAGTCCAGCAACAGCGGCGCTCACCGCCTGGCCACACCCACGCCATTTCACCAGGGCCACGCCCACCAGCCCGACCCACCCCTCAGTCATAGCCACATCCACCGGGTCCTGGCCCTGCGGCCACAAGCACGGTCATCCAGGGTCAAGCCTGTCCACCCGGGCCGCGCCCCCCCAGAGATTCTCATGGGAGGCGGGGACCCCTGGAGACTGACCTGGGAGGCCACCTCTGTCTCAGCGCTCCTCTCTCCCCTGGTGCCACCCCTACCTGTCCTCCTGGATGTCCTGCACAGCTCTTTCCCTGTACCCTAGGCCCCCAGTCAAATCCAGTAAACTACCCCCGGTCTTGGGAACAGCGCCCACTGTCCCTGCCTTCACAGGCTTTCCAGGGTTAGCTGCCATGGCTGTTTCCCTGCCATTCTCTGTGCCAGCCCTTCTCTTTAGGGACAGCGTGGGCACTTGAAGGAGTGCTGGCAGGACTGGGAGGGGCAGGGAGCCCTGCTTCAGGTTGGGACTGGCTGTGAGGTCCGGCGCCGAAGGAGCTGCGTGCCCTGTCCTGGTAGGGAGTGTTGGGGTCCAGTTAGAATTGTGGCTCCAGCCCTCTGAGCTGTAGAATCTGGGACAAAGGGCTCTTTAAGTCCTCGATTCCCTCATCTGCAATGGGTGTAATGGTCCCTGCTTATGTGGGATTGTTGTGGATGAAATGGGTTCATGTATGCAAAGTTGTATACACCCAAAACCCCGGAACCAGGAGGTCACCAAGAGACCGACTTGGAACTGATACAAAGGACTCTTGAGCAAGCAGCACTGCCTTCAGAACAGCAGCCTGGTGCCTGAGGCGGTAATGAGCTCCCTGTCACTGAAAGTGTGCAAGCAGAGGCTGGCAGGGAGGTGGCAGAGCCAGGGCAGGACGGCTTCTGGGTTCATCTGGTCTGGGTCCCAGTGAGCATATCTGGTGGTCTTCCTGTGGTCAAGAGCTTCCCAAAGGGATGGAAAAGCAGGAAAATTGCCAAGGAGGGTCCCCTTGTGTAGCACCAGAGGGTGCTTTTGCCTATCTTTCTTCTCTTCCTATATTGTTGGGAGTTTTTTCAATGAACTGTATTCTTTTTGAAACTAAAAAATAATGATTATGAAGAGGCAATGGCAAAATTAAGGGGTTTTGTACCCCAAAGACCTAACCCATCTTTTGGGGAGGTGTGGCCTTGGCCAGTCACGTGGCCTCCAGGGCCTCGGTGGAGGCAGGGATCGCCCTGTGCTTTGCACTCCGCCCTGAGCAGCAAGTCGTGCTTCAGAGCTGCCAGGAGCCCTGCCTAGAAACTGGGTCCCCTAAACCGGAGCCTGTGCTCAGACCGGGCTGCTGGGCCTGCCCTTCAATCCTCCCTGTCTTACGTCTGTACTGCAGGCCCCAGGGCTGAATCTGCCTCCTGCCCAGTCTCTAAACCGCTCCGTGCTGATGCCAACGAGTCAAACCCGTGTCATTACACGGGGTGTCACAAGCAAGCTCTGCTTTTTAATAATTGCATGGTTAGGAGCCAGGCGTGGTAGTGTTAAAAAACAAAGAAGTCCCTGCCCTTGTGAAGCTTATACTCCTCCAGGGGAAGAGAATGATGACAAAGGTTAAATGTCACTTAAAACCAGGTACCAGACTGGGCGTGGTGGCACACACTTTTAATCCCAGCACTGGGGAGGCTGAGGCAGGGAGATCACTACAGGTCGGAGGCCAGCCCGGGATATTTAGTGAGTTCAAGGCAAGTTTAAACTACATAATAGCAAGGTTCTGTCTCAACCCCCCAAAAAAATTTTTTAAAGAAAATAAAGTCTCAGAAGATGAGATGTGCTGAGGGTTGGAGAGCTGGAAATGTAGAGGCAGGAGCCAGACCTACTTTTTGTTGTTGTTGTTGTTGTTGTTGTTGCTGTTGTTTGTGATACTAGGGAATCTACACTGAGCTACATCCCCATCCCTTTTTGTTTGTTTGTTTGTTTTTTAGTCAGTTTAAGTTGCCCAGGCTGGCTTTGAACTTTTGATCTTCCTGCCTCAGCCTCCTAAGTAGCTAGAATTAAAGGAACATGGTCCCCTGGAGGGCACTGGGGTCCAGCATAGTAACACATCCCTCCTGGTCTCTGCCCCGCTCTGCACCCGCCTCAGGAAAGCCCTGGGGACCCGGATCTGCCCTTGAAATTAGGACTCCAAGCCCGTAATCTACTTTGGCCCCTAAACCCCACATATTAGGGAGTCTTAAATAGCTATGTGGCCCCAACTGTCCCCAGAGGCCCCACCCGCAGTGGAGTTGGGCTCCTCCCAGGCATGCAGAGGCCAGGCACCACCTGATGTCACCTCCTAGGTGAGGGGACAGCAGGGTGGGGACCGGGCTTGCGGATCTGGATCTTTTTACCACAATATCGGCCTGGATTGTTCCAAAGAAATGGAAGATCTACTACTGAAAGCCAGCATCTTAGTGCACCACTCGCCAGGGCAAACCCAGGTGGTCAAGCTGTGGCTGGGCAGGCAGACAGGGCTCCAACTCCCCTGACCTTGTCCCCTCCAGTTCCTCAGGAGGACGCACCCGCCATGGCCGGGATCACACAGCCTGCCGCCGCATGACGAAGGAGGAACTGGGGTTCCCAGGGAGTTGGGTTTGGGGGTGTCCTGGTCCTCAAGGACCAGGCACCCCTGCCTGTCCCCAGTCCTAGAATCCACGGAGTGTGGTGAATGACCCAGGTAATCTGGCCTTGCCCAGCGCCGCTCTCTGCCCTCCTCCCTCGTGCTCATGATGGGCCCAGGATTTTATATCGCATCAGGTGGTCAGCAACAGCCTTGGAAGTGCTGCACTTGTTTCGGAGACTGAGAACATGCCGTGTGGAAAGGGCAGAGAAGACCCCTGAATTCGGCCTCCAATCTGTCTGTTTTGTGGGCCTCTCTGTCTCCCCCTAGAAGCAAAGGCAGGGATAGGGCCCAATTCACTTCTGAGTGGAATAGTTGCTCCGCACACATGGATAAATGAAATCCCTGCCGTCCAAAGTCTGTCTCCTAGCCAGGCATCGTGCTGCATGCCTGTAATACCAGAACTCTGGGAGGCTGAGGCAGGAGGATTCTGAGTTCCAGCCCAGCCTGGGAACCTTTAAGGACTTAGTGAAACCCAGTCTCAAATAAAAAATTAAAAAGTTGTGGGGGTGTAGCTCAATGTGAAGGCCTTGGGTTCAATCCCTAGTAATGGAAGGGATGGACAGAGGGAGATACGGCTCCCCAATCACTATAAACACCTGCTTTTGCAGGGACACCTCTGTCCTGGTCTTCCGCTCCCCCAGGCCGCACCCCTGCCCACCTTGTTGAAGTCGAAGGTATCAAACATCTGTTCCACGTACTGGCTGGCCCAGGGGCTCAGGTTCTTGAGGCCGAAGAACTGGCGGAATTCGTAGAGGGTAAGCTGGCCCGAGGGGCACTCCGTCATGAACTTCTTGTACCACTGGTGGCACTCGGTGCTGCTCAGCTCCTCCACCGACTTGCCCTCCACCACATTGCCCATGGCCCTGCCTCAGGAGGCTGTGCACGTGTGGGAAGGTGGCGTGGCTGGGACCCGGGGCTGACTCTGTGACAGCCTGGAGGCTTCCAGGTCTGCACTTGAGGACGGATGGAGTGACCAGAGAGGAGTGGTAGCCTGTGCCCAAGACGGGCTGCTGTGACAAGTCTCCACTAAACCCCGGCAGCGGGGCCTGCACCCGGAGCAGCAGCTCCCAGATTAGGGCCCTGAGCTGGGTGCGAGGCTTTCCCCGCCCAGCTGGTGATCTCCTAATCCCACTTACCACCCATGGGTGGCCGCCAGCAGCCGCTTTGATCCTGTGGCCTCTGCACCCTACTTATCTGGTCTTGTGGGTTCACAATGTTCCCGATCCTGCCCCAGACACAGAACAGAGACCTGGTTATGGCCAGGAATGGTGGCCCATGCTTATAATCCCAGGACTCAGGAGGCTGAGGCAGGAGGATCAGTGAGTTCAAGGCTAGCCTGGGCTACATAGTGAGACCCTGGTTCAAAAAACAAAAAACAAACAAAAACATATGTTACTAAGGAACACACATTGCTCACATAATCAAAAAGGAGCTATTTTTTAAAAAGAAGCCTCACAGGACTGTCTCACCTGTACTCTCCTGGAGGTAGATTAAGGGTCACAGGCAGGAACCGGGATCCACACTGGCGGATTGCCCAGGTCCAGTTGTGCCCCGTGTCCTACAGACAGCTCTCTCAGGTCCCAGGTGTGGAGGGGAAGGCGCCTGGAGGTGGCAGCTCCGCCATCCCCCTCTGGTTACCCCGGAAAGCCCCTCATCTCTCCCTTCACTGTGTATGAGTTGTGTTACTTCTGGGCACCATAAAACCAGTGGTCCCCACTCAACCCTTAGCCACACTTGTCACCTCACAGTGTCCTTGGCCGGAGACTCCTATGGCTGCCTCCATGGCATCACCGGAGCCGTGTCTCTGTCTGGACATTCGGCCAGGGAAGAAAACGCTCCCCGCTCACTGAGGCAGATGGCAGAGCCCCTTCCTGTGGTGTGTGACCAGGGCCCTGGCTCATGGCCGGGAGGACACTTGTGGGCCCAGATCTGTGGCCTCCACAGGCCCCTGTGGTCTTACAGCTCGGCTGCCTCCCCCTCCCTTCTCTGTCCATCAATCAGCCAGGAGTGTCCTTAACTGGTCAAGTCTCACAGGCAGGACATCACCTACCAGGACTCTCCCTCCACGGCTACTGGTTGGTCCTCTCACTCTCAGAGACCAAAACCCCATCTTGTCCCCCTAGGGGCGGGCACTTTGTCCAGGGGGACCCGGGCTGGCTTCTTAGAGCAAAGCCAGTGACTGCGCTACCAAGGGAGGCCTCCAGGGGGCGCCTGGGACTGGCGAAGTCCTTCCTAGTCCAGGCCTTGCTGTAGGACACGGCGGGGCCTCAGTTTACCCACCCACAGCCACTCACTCAGATACCAGAGCAGAGAAGGACAACGTTTAATCGCCACGGAGGCGATGGGCTGTCCTTCTGGCTGAGCCCGCCGCCTAGGACTGCCACAAGGCCACGTTGGCGGGGGGCACGTTGAAGCGCTTGCGGGTGTGGTCAGTGTCCCTGCGGTACAGGTAGCCGCAGGTGGGCTTCTGCAAGGTGTAGAAGGGGCTCAGGGAGTTGGAGTACTGGGCCGTGTAGAAGGTGGCCCGGAGCGGGCCCAGGGTTTGCCCCTGGGGACCCACGGCCACCGGCACGTAAGCAGCAGCCAGCGACTGCTCCCGGTCCCCGTCCCGCGTCCACGCCCGCGCCAGCGGCCCATGAGCGGACATCGCCTTCCGGCCAGACGGCGTCTTCGACCCAGAGCGGGGTGTGGAGGGATTCTGAGGAGAGGACAGAGGGGACAGCTGGGACAGGGGGCCGGGACTGCAGCTGCGAGGCTTGGAGAGGGTCAAGAGCCTGCAGAGCCACTGCCCCAGTACAGTCCCGGCCCCCGGGCTGCAGGTCCCTGCCTGTCCCAGCTCCTCGGGCCCCTGTGGGCCTCCTCTCCCTTCTTGCCCTTCACCCCCTCCTCTTCCTGCCAAGCCTGCGGTCCTCCAGTGTCTTGCCTTTTCATCCTGTTTCTGCTCACAGTTAATCTTTCTTTCCTTTTCTTTTTTCTTTTTTTTACTACTAGGAACTGAACCCAGGGCCTTCCCACTGAGCTACATCCTCAGTCTTTCTTTTTTAATTTTTATTTTGAGATAGATCTCACTAAATCACTAAATTGCCCAGCTGGGCTCCAACTTGTGATCCTCCTGCCTCAGCCTCCCAGAGTGCTGGAATTACAGGTGCCATGCCTGGCTAATCTTTCTGTAAAATGGCTGGATCTCTGGACCTTGCTCCTCTTCCAAGCATCTTCTGCTCCCTGCAACCTAGAAAGTGAAGCCCAAAGCACCCTCCCACCCAGGCTGGGGCCGAGACTCAAGCCATGCTGCCCACCCCCTGCAGGCTGTGTCCTGGCCGAGGTCTCCCTGTCACCCCTCGCACCCCAGGCCTCCCCAGCCCTGGCTGCCTCTTCCAGCTCATCAGGGACACTGGGTCTCCAGGGACGTGGCCAGCTCCTGGTCGAGCGCCCTCTCCTTACCCTGGACGTGGCAACCTCGCAGACTGCGGCATTGGGACAGGAGGTGCTCGCGCAGTGTGGGCTCTGCCCACCCAAATTCTAGTCCCGGGCCCTGGGGTCCCACCGCTGCCTCTCATTCCATTTTAGAACCCCTGTCACTGTGACTGCCCCTTCGGTGGGGCCCCCACCCCTGCTCTGCCACCCCCTCCTGGACTGACCTGTGCCCGGCTGTGTGGTTCACCCCCAGTGCAGCCCTGCCTCCCAGGCACTAGATGTCACTGGGACCTGCCCAGCCCTCACAGTGACCATCCACCTGCGTGTGACCAGGCCGGCTCCGCTCCATTCCCCAGGTTTCCACTGCAAGGGGAACTCTGTTCTTCTCAGCCCACCCTCGGGGACACTGCGTGAGGCCCAGCTGCAGAGTTAAGGAAGGGGAATCCTTACCTTCTTACAAAAGAAAGCCAGGGGGCTTCTGACCTAGGACAGCTCCCTTGCATTTGATTTGCAAACCATTTGTCCAGTCTAACCTTGCCCAGAGCTTCCCCCTAAGGCAGCCTTTGCTCCTATAGGTTCCTCCCCAGGGGTACAAGTTGTGCACTGCACAATCACTACATTCAAGGACAAAAAAAATGCCTCAGTGATGCCACCATACACAGCCATCTTAGTTTGGGCAAGAATACTATGATGATCTCACAGTGAAACTGCCTACCCCTGCCTTTCTTAGAACCTCACATCTGACTGTCGCTGTACACTCCACTTTGCATTTCAAAATTGCTCTTACACTTCCAGGCCCCACAGCGGTTTTTCCCCCAGTAATGGGGACCCACCCGGAAGGGCTTGCTCTACCACTAAGCCACCTGAGCAGCCCCCTTTTGCTTTGAGGTAGGCTCTCTCTAAAATTGCTCAGGGCGTCTTCAAACTTCCAATCTCCCAGCCTCAGCCTCCGGAGTAGCTGGGATTACAGGTGTGCAGCACCATGCCCAGTCCCAAGGGCCTTCAGATACACATACATGTCAAAGCGTGTTTGCGTTCTCTCCTCCCGGACTTGGCTCCCGCGGAGGGCGACCCAAGAGCTCTCGCGCACGCGTAGTAGCAGCACTGGCCTCGGAAAGCAGATTCGCAGCCTGCGGCCACCGATATCGGGCCGTTTGTGGAAGGTTCCGGAAGTCCAAGGCCCTGGGCCCGCTGGGGAGGCCTCCGGGGCCCTGCAGTTTGAGGGTCTGCCCTGTGGGCTGGCCCCACCTCAGGGTCAGGCCCCTCGGGCGCCTTTACACCTTGGTGCCTGGGCTGCAAAACGGGAAAACCTGGCTCCGGGCCTCAGCGGACCTCTAGGGGGAAGCGAGTCGGCCTGAGTCCCGCCTCACTAGCGCCGGATCTTTGGACAAACTATAATACCCTCCCTGCCCCTTAGTTTTCCTGTCTAGAAAGTGGGACAAACAAGAGACTCTCCTGGTATTGCTGCTGTGGGTGAACTACCTCGGTTTAAGCACTCAGTAAACTAGCATTTCGTGGCTGGGCGTGGCCGTACATGCCTGTGCCCCAGCTGCTCCGGGAGGATGAGGCAGGCAGATCGCCCAGTCCGGGCAATCTCGAAAATAAAATTGTTTAAAGGGCTGGGGGTGTAACTCAGTGGTAGAGCGCTTGCCTAGCAGGTGCATGGCCCTGGGTTCCATCCTTAGCACCCAAACAATGCCCCAAATACCCCGCCTAGCGCTTATTATCCCTTGTGGTAATTTAGCCCCAGAGAGGAGACCGGATCAGCCTCCCGGAAGGCAGAGGAGCAGAGGGAACAGAGCTGGCTGAGAGCCCAGCCTTTCACAAGAGTCCCAGCCCAGTCACAGGGCCCCCATCGCCTTCCCGTCCAACCCGGAGATGTCGCCCACCTTGAGCATCCTGGAAAGGGCTGTGGTGGTGGTGAGCTGAAATTCTTCTGGGGGACAGGGGCTCCCCGGGATCCCAGGCCTCTTGGGAGGGTCCAGGTGAGGGGCGCCTGCAGGGTGAGGCATTGTGACAGGGCCTCCTTACAGCACAGCCCCTCCTTCCCGAGGGCACAAGGGGAGTTTGATTTGCTTTTTGTTTTGTTGTTGATTTTTGTGGTATTGAGGCAGGCACAGGACCACTGAGCTAAATCTCTGGTCCTGTTTTGTTTTGTTTTTGACACAGGGTCTCACTGTATAGTTCAGGCTGGCCTCACTTGATCCTTCTGCCTCAGCCTCCCAAATGCTGGGATTCCGGATATGTGCCACCACACCCAGCTCTGGGAAGGTCTTTAGCTGCAACACTGGCCCGCTCTGCTATCCTAGCCTCCCACATACCCTGAGGATCCCCAAACTGTGGGCAGCTAGGGGAAGGTAGAACCCCAAACTGTGAGCTCCCCCTAGCTTTTCGGTAACCCCCGAAGCCCTAATGTCCCATGTGCTGTCCTCCCCTAACCAGGTCTCTGACAAGCCATGAGGAATCACTGGAGGGCGACCAGGCTCCTCATGCGGCTGGGAAGTGGCAGCTCCATCTTCAAAGTCCGGCCCGCCACTCCCCAGGATCCCAGCACCGTCCTCAGCAAGCCCCGCATGTCGGGTAGAAGGACAGAGGTCCTTATTTGCTTCCTTCCTGATGCGCCATCAGCAGGATGGCAGGTGACAGGCAGACCGGGCCGGAAGCTGAGGTGTGATGGCTGGCGTGGCCACCTCAGCGTAACCCCTAATTTCCAGGAGGCGCGGAGGAGCCCCAGGAGGAGGGGTGAGAGTCTGGGCTGATGACCGGGAAAGCTGGTGACCTCAGACAGATCCTGTCTGTGTCTGCTTGGGGCCACCAGGATGCTGGGTCCTCCCCCTTGGACACCCGATGGGGGGGATCCCCAGGCCCTCAGGCAGGGACCCCGCCCTGCCAGCATTGTCCCAGTCTAGACCATGAGACCTCAGAGGGGGCTAGGAAATCCTGGCTCGGTGAGCCTTACTTGCCTCTTTTTATTTATAAATTGTATGATGGTTTGGAGTTCTCACTTTTGGATTCACTGAATTTTGAGTTCAAATCCCAGCTCTGAGCCAGGTGTAGTGGTGTAAACCTATAATCCCAGCACTTGGGAGGCTGAGGCAGGAGGATTGTTGTGAGTTTGAGGCCAGCCTGGGCTACATAGTGAGTTCAAGGCCAGCCTGAACTACATAGCAAGAACCTGTCTCAAAACAAAACAAGACAAAACTGAGCTCTGCTGCATCTCAGCTATGCTGGTACTCAAGCAACTTAAGCTCTCTTTCCTTCTTTTCTTTTTAAACAGGGTCCCACTGTGTAGTCCAGGCTGGCCTTGAACTCACTATGTAGTCTAGGCTTGCCTCAAATTTGTGGTGATCCTTCTGCCTCAGCCTCCCAAGTGCTGGGGTTGTAGGTGTGCGCCACTACCACACCCGCTCTCTGTGTCTCCACTTTTTTTTTTTTTTTTTTTTTTG